TACCCGCTTTACCTATTATATGTTTAAGTAATTCTCAGTTTTACTGTGTACTATAAACGAATACGGTCAATGATTTATACTTAACTACCTCGTGTTTACCATTAATCTCTCGTATCAAATGACCTTATAACCTTTTTATGCCGTTAGTTCGTTTACAAGATGAACAATTAATTATTTACTATAAACAATGCTCTACCGAGTACCGCCCAACTTGAAAGGAGCGCATTTTAGTATAACTTTTGATCCCAAATTAAATAGTTTTGCTATCTACATTCATCTGAATCAATTCTTCGACGAAGAGTTCCAAATTGTTCTCTCAGATCAACGAGTAAAGGAGAATATTTCAATTGACTATGCTTACTGATAATTGTATCGAAGAAATTCATCTTCCACCATCAAGAATAAGCCAACCGACTTCTCAAATCAAAATGTTTCACGACATGGACTATGTCCAGGGTTTTCTTAATGATATTAGTAAGAAAATATGAAAATTGATCTTTTCGTGGGCGAAGGAATTTTATTTTTTTCGCACTTTTCTTTCTTTGGTTTTATTTACATTTGTTATTTACTGCACTTTAATATCATCCGAAATTCTTTCAATTTAACTTTATTTAATTGCAACATTGTGATTAATGCTATTGTTGTTGTAAATAAGAATATTTGAATTGAATAATTTCAAAATTTTTTCCTCCACAAATTATACATTATAATTAAGCTAATTTCATTATGTAAACATTAAATAATCGTTGTTGAAGTGAAATGGAAATGAAAATGTTTCATTTATATTATTTCTTAAAATGAATGTGGGCAACTAATAATGCATCATTGGTCTGTCAATTGCATTCGCATATATTATATAAAATTTGTTCACTGACTCATCTAATTCGAAGAATGAATGAACCATATGTGGGCGCAATATATCGGCGCAATATTCTTTCATCTCCGTTCATTTATCCAAATCTCGCAAAAAATTATTCTGTTGCATAAACGAATTGAAATTTTTCATTCATCAATCAATCACTCGCCACCGTCGTTTCTTCGAAATGAGATGGCAAACAAATATCAATTGTTAATTTTGTTAGATTTTAACTTTCTTGTTGATATCGTGTATTTGTTATTTTTCAGTTATTTTGGATATCATTAAGTATTATTTAAGTAATCAAACTTGTTTCTCATTTTTATCATTTGCAAAAATAATAATATCTTTGTAGACAGTAATAATTATATTCTCTAAATAATAATTATTCAATTATTCTAAGGTATATTAATTACATATTTAAATAATGGTTGACTATTTCCCGTATAGGAATTGAAAATGTATTACTTTGTGGAAGTTGGATGAGATGAAAAAGTAGGAAGAGAAGAAGCAAGGAAAATTAGAAAATCGGTTGCATAAAACAGATTTTTTAATCGTTTCTTTGTCTGTTCAAAGTTTTTACTAATGAAAATTTATTCGTTTTTAACTTTCCTAATCAGTTCATTTTTTATCACAATATGTCTCCTTCTATGTTGTCTAGGCCATTTAATGGATAGGCTAGACTCAATTCTGTGGCTATAAAACACAAATGAAATCACAAAGTTCTATCTGTCGTTCTGAATCATTTTATCCTATTGATATCAACGATTTAAATTTATTTTAATTTTGTACAACTTTTTGCATTTAAAACTGAAATTGCTTTTATTAGAGTACAACGTATTGTGTTAGGTGTTAGATAAGACGTTGAAGAGGAAGAGAAGAAGTCATCCATCCATCCATCCATTCCATTAAAATGTTAATGTGAAATTGGCTTCGAAACAACACGGAGGAGACTCTCTTACATTTATTGATAGTAATGATAAGAAAGCTAAGAGATGATAATTTACGTAGGGAATTAACGATTTACTTGTGGACAATTCATATTAGTTTTAATCACACTATTATTAACGATATAGTATTGAATGATAAAATGTTTAGTGCTCTTTTCAGCTCTAATATTTACCGTTTTAAATTTATTGCCAATATGTTTATTTCCTGTCTATTAGCAACTGGATGATTTCATTTTTTTCTTTCAACAGCATATAAGTTTAATTGAGATCAATTATCTGTCAGTTGTTTCTCTCGCCAACTATTCCTACTTCCTGAGAATTATTTTCTCTGAGATTTGCAAGGAGAAATTGGGATTAGAATTTAAGGAAATATTTCACTCGAAATTGCAGCATTATTTTAATTCTTTGACTAACGTTCATAAATGAAACATTTTTAGGTTATTTCGATCTTGTTGTATGATTGGCTCAAAGGATCATATTATTTTATAAAACTACAAATAAAAAGTGAAGTAAATAGAGAAAAACGCAGAATTTGCAAAAATCATTTAGGATCAAAAATTCAGCTTTGAAACATCATGGGAATATGGAGATATTTGCCATTTGCAGATATGAAGACATATGAGGGCCTTGAGAGAGGAAGAGAAAAATATACCTATGCCAGCTATTGAAACTTTGTTTTCCGAAGTTACCATTAGAATTACCTAAATTATAATAATCTAATGCGCAGGTTTCATGTATGATGTATGAGATCACAACATCACTAGTTTCTAAGACGGAAGATTTAGAACATTTTTTCGTGATGTGTTTTCAAATCTTATTAATAATTGATGTTTTGTAATCGGAACAGATTTTTTGTTGATGATAATAACTTGTAATGGATATGTATATATATATATGAATCGATGAAATGATCTTTTAATAGTATCTTCTAATGTTGAAAAAATCTTAAACACTCTAAAAGTTTGTGTATAATGAAATTATTTTTTGAAGAATAATAGAACGAATGATTATTAATTATATGAAATTTGTCCAATGTACGTTTAATTTCATATATTTTAAATATTTTAAAATATATTTTAAAATGATTCAAAAATAAAATGAATTTCAAAAAAAACAATATATTGTTGAAAATACTGAAATCTTCTTGAAAAATGCTAAAAATTAGGATATAATATATTTTATCGAAAAGTATTGAATAATCATTTCTGATTGATTATCGTATCTAAAGCATAAAAATTCTTTTCTTCGTTTATTTTATTTTGATAATTATTGTGGAATACTATCAATTTTATTTCATCTGATGCTAAAATACCTTTGAAGTGAATGAAAGTTGAATAATTAACTTTTTGACTTTTTAAATATAACCAACCTATTAATTTATTATAGCATAATGAAATGAATGAGAAGAGGAAGCATTCAGTTTCTTCTGAATATTTCACTTTTCGCATTTTATCGTTTTTTTCATAAAAACTGTAAAAGTATGAATTTTTAATTAAATTATATTTATATTGTTAGAAGCAACTAATATGTTTAATTATTTTTAATTACGAGAATGAAACTTTTTATATAAAAAGATTTAATAAAAATTTTTTGAAGAAATTTTATTTTATAATTTTTGAATGATAGTTCAAATTACTTATCTCTTCACTTTATTTAAAATGGATTCTTAGCATGCTTTCGGAAATTTCAATATTTCCATATGAAATGCATGCTTACTTTTATCACGCACTGTTAAAGTATGAAATTTTTTATGGACAACAATGTGAGCAGTTTGCATATTATGAACGGTTTGGTTGATTTGTTATTAAAATGAAAATTGTTAGGATTAGAAAAAAATTTTTCAGTATCAATCAACTTTGACCTCTTAACGCATGAATAGTTTTTCACACCTACCATGTAAATTAGATATTTCCTTCTAATTTATTGAAAATATTGTTTTAGGTTGTTATGGATAGTAACAATTTTAATATAATTCAAAAAGCTTAGGCACATTGAATTCCAATTGGATGATTCATAGTTTTGTCCTTGAAATGGTTTTAAGAAATTTAAATTCTCATTAGCACAAAGTACTGAAAAACAATTTCTCATTTTGTTTCTCAGTTCCCAACTGTCAGCTTTTCACACCTCTTTATTACATTTCGTTTCCATCTTGTGATTAATTTTTCTGACTCATTGAAATTTAATATGAAATTAGTTTTGGGAAAAATGAAACCTATTGTCTCATATCTGATTTTCATTTTTGAAAAAGCATTCTTTCATAAATTAATACACCATGAAGTTGATATTGTTATATCAGGGGAAATACAAGTATTAAACTGTTTCTAAATTCTTATGATAATGATAATAGTGGGAGAGAGAATAATATGGCGGATGGAAGCGCTATTATCGTGCATTCAGATTCCATATCGGTTCATCCTCTTTTCATTTGGAACTCAAAAAAATGTTATTAGAAAACAAAAATCATAATTTATACAATCCTTTAATTGGCATTTAATTAATTAATGTTTTATAAGGAAGAAAGAACCAGCCAGCTTTGTCAAGTTTTATTGACTTCAAAATATTTATTGTATATGACGGATTTATTAGTGTAATAGTAAAATTCTCCCTTGGTCATTTCATAATTGTTAATGCTTTTACATAACATATTATTTCAAATTTCATTGTGCAGAAAACTCGTTTTATCATCCGTCGTCCATTGACGATTTGATGAGAACAATTTAGTGAATATAACTGAGATTTCTGTTTGCCTTTTTATTTATCTCAAAATTTCTCATTTTTCATATCAAATATATATCATCTCATCTATGCCATTTCCACTTTATCATATTTAATATCTTACAGATTATTCCACAATTATCATTGATGATTTTCGAAAATGCATCTTTCTTGCTCATTTGCATTTTAATTTGAAATGATATTTTCCCGTTAGAAGCTTATCGTTGCTGCTTAAAGAAGAATTCTCACATGTTTTCTTTGATATTTGCATTTCAAATATTCTTCAATGTTACTTTTGTTGTTTTCTGTAAAGCTCAACAGAAATTATATTTTATTTTTTAATTTAACTTCTCTTCTAATGGAAGAAAAATGAAATAGCTAAAATATGGTAAGTTAGGAACAGTTGAATGGAAAAAGATTCATTCTTGAATTTATCCCACAATGCTATTACAAATAAATTTGTTTAAAAAATTTTTCAGATGATCTTACTGGTGACATTTTTTATTGCGATCAGTTCAAGTGTTGCTCGGCTAGAGGTTTGTTACAATGTGGCTTTTTTTGACAATACAGAGGTCATTTGACAAAACAATTCAGAAATAGGTAGCTCATCCTGTTATTTGATAATATTACTAGTTCATGTCAAATATTGTCGAATATTAGTTATAATATCAAAAATTCAAATAATTCATTTTAGATTAAACTTTTTTTTAAATCGTTCGGATTGTTTTGATTAAGCGAAATTAAAAAGCGATAGTGCTTTTTCGTTTTGTTTAAAAATTAAAGCAATTATTTCATTATGTTAATAGTCAGGTTTTTCAAGAATTCTTATTTCCAGTTGTTTTTAAGTGACAGTATTCTAAATATTGAACATTTACGAAAAGGATAGAAGGATTGTGGTATGCGATAAAGTTCAATTTCTATTTAATTCAAGAAAGGTTGCAGCATACGGCGTGTGAGCAACTCATTGAATGCTATGCAAAGTCTCGCGACAAAACTGAGGAATGCCTATCGCATAATGAAAAGCGGGAATGCCAGAACGAGTCTTTACAGTTGGAACTTAAAGAACTAACTAATAAGGTATGTATATACTCTTTGAATCTTTTTTTAAAAGAAGGATATTTTTGATTATATGATTCTAAAGGTTGTAATTACGAGAAGTGTAGGCAAAGATTTTCAATTTAAATTAAAACTAAAATAAAGCCTTAACATCGATGCTAATATATCTATTTCAAATTCACATTAAAAGAAAAATGCAAAGTATTGAAGTAGAAGAGGAAGAAGAGATGAAATTTGATATAAAATAGCTTAATAAGTAATATTTTCACTCTTTCAAATGGAATAGACATTGCATTTATTTGGGAAATTTTTTGAACTGTTCAACCTTTGAGCCATTTTATTTAAAATGATTTTACTTTTCCTCCTGAAAACATTCAGTTCTTAATGAACATATGATGTTAGTAAGCAATTAATCACAGCTGTCGAGAAATTCCAGTAAATAAATTAATCGCAACTGTCAAGAGATTCATTCTTCAACATTAAATTATAGCAACTTTTTAAAAATTAATCAAAAGATGGATTATTTTGCAGAAAATTTCTCTTTACGAAAATTGTTTACGTGAAAAATCGTCCATTGCGACAGCAATCGAAAATGCGAAAAAGGTATTGTTAAATCATTTTTTAACTATCATGCATTATTATTGTGTCAGCGTTTCAAGATAATGAGTTTTCATGATACTTAACTATAAGTGATCTGAATGGAAAAGGTTAAGAAAACTGAAATATCTTTTATTGGGTGAGCATCAGAATGAACGGAACCGATGAAGCACGACTTTTTTATCGCGTGATTTCAGCGATAATTAATTCGTTTTATGAATAGAAGTTATCGCTACCAGAAGTTCCAGGTAGATGATGCAGTCCGAATGAATAAGTCAAAGTACTAACCATTTGGGAAAAGAGTCAAAAGTCAAATTTTGTTGAATTCGTGAAATTACTCTTTAATTTAAACCTTTATCTCATTATGTCAATGATATTCTTAGTAGTAATTTATTCCATTTATTGGGTCCATAAGCCATAGTTACAGTTGAAAAACCTTTAGTGTTACTTTTTTTAGTGAGTAACATTTTCTATATGTAATTCTTAAACGTTCCATACGAGGCGTTAATAAATGAGGCACCATAATTCGATTGTTAAAATCAGAAGAATAATTATAGAAAATGTCAAGTTAACCATATTGAGAAATTGGGTCTGCTCTCTAGATACAATGATTCAAAAAACTGTAATTGTCAGCAAAAGAGAAAATTTATCGAGCAGTCAACAACTACTAAGAAGATAATACGTTTACTAAGTAAAGTAAGGAAACGGAGATGACGCATAGATTTCTTTCTGTAAATTAATTGTAAGATCACAAATAAGTTACTGAAAACAAATTTCAGAATTTAACAGCCAAAAGAATATTTGCAGAAAGCCAGATGTGATGTAATATTAAAAAGAAATCCGTATAGAAAGAACAAAGTTGGAACAAATGAAAAGGATAAAAATAAAAGGAAGAATCGGCGATCGATTCACAAGAACAAAAAGTATAATACACAAAAGATGTGCTTTCGTGAAGCACGTAAATTGAAAACCTATTGTGGACAACTGTCGAAATGTTGCACTATTAGTAAATTGTTAGTCATTCTGAAATTATTACATGAAGTAGCATTTCATGCATGTAATTATCATGAAGAAATTCTGTATCAAAATGTGACAATGACATATATTGTCAAATTTTTACAGATGTAAAATAAGATTGAATGATGAAAAAATTGCTGCAAAAAGAATAGAAATCAAACAAGCTGATGAGCAATGCCGCTTGGAGCATTATGGTAGTACGAAAGTGAAGGGTGACAAAAATCGTAAACGTAATAGGCATCATCGTGGCGATGAACAGCGCAGAAAATACATGAATCAAGAAGATTCTATATAAATCTTTATTTGTGTTTTGGTTATCATTCTTAAGAAATCATCATGATACTTTTAAATAAATGATTGTAACGTCTTTGAATTGATAGTTTTTCCAATTATGATCATGGAATTTCAATTTCCAAGTAAGCTTATTCGAGAAATTAGTTTCATCGCATGATTTAAAATTTGAGTTGAATGAATAGCCTGTATATGCGTTTCATTTTTGAATATTTTCTTAATTGCATTTCCATTATCGTTTTAAAATTTGGTGAAATTTGGAAATTCTCAAAAGAAAATTATCAAAATTATATTTGTTTATCAGGTTTAGCTCATCAACATTGCTTTTCATAAGTTTCATGCATGCACTTGCATGTAAAAGTTACAATATTTTATAACAAAATACTTTAATATTGATTTCCCGAAATTTTTCTTAAAAAAATGTTACATACTTCTACTTTAAGTTGTTACGACATTGTGATGTGATTGTTTTCAAAATGTAATTGTCCTATTGATGAACTTTGCAAAGTGTAATGTGTGATCTCCTATACTCCATTGATGATTAGCAAACAAAATATTTCCTGATATTCATCTTCCCAGCAAATTACTTCGTTAATTCAATTTTGCACATTTTCATTGCTTAGTATCAAATTTGAGACAATTCGGGACAAAATCACAATAACTGGTTTTTCGAGAACTGGAAATTAATACATTTAGAAATTAATAAAAAAAACCATTCGCGTGAATCGGAATAGTAAACTTCCTATTCTTAAATCGCCAAATATTATACAAGACTGCAGAGGTGTGAAACTCCTGGCAATACAAATAATACTCCGACAAATGCAGTCACGAGCATTTTAAATGACTGCAACAAATAGCTATATTGAATAAAAAAATAAGTAAGAAATGTAATCGGTGGAAAATCGAAAATGAACTCCCTAAAGTTCGGATAACCTGTAGTATTTTCAAATTTTTTTGCTAAGCAAGAATTATTTTCAAATTTATTGTCAATACCATCATCTATTTAAGATAATTAAGATAATTTAAGATCATCTATTTAAGATAATCATAACCAATCAGTCATACTCGATATATCGGAATAATAGAGTTTCATGAAAATTTTGAAACAAAGGATTAGCATAGGGATGAAACCAGAGTGACGTATCGAAACTGGTTTAGTAACTTTTTCGATTGTTAGTGTTGGAGGTGGTGCGGGGTACGTTGGTATTCGTCGTCATTTGACTGTTTCTGGGAGAAGTTAAGCTTCTGTTTCTACAGATATCAATGTTGATTGGTAACGTAGATGAGTATGTACCACAGCGTGACCTTCATGAACCAATCGTCGACGACTTCTACTTCATGGAACCTCCATATGGAACAGTGAGTAACTCTCACTCTTTAGTAATATATAATTACGACGAGAAATATACTGTCGATTGTAGTTAATGAAGTGATTCAATTTTTATAGTTAGCCCGTTCTGTCTGTCGCTAAACTGTGGTACTATTAGGAAGTAGCACATTGATTAAGGATGTTGTGGTGCCACCTAACATTGATATCCAAGCTTCAGAGGCCTTTGAACAGGAAAGAGGTTGCAGCATTGTTCAAATCTTCGTATAATTCACCTATTCACGTGATAACATGTTCCACGCTTCCAAGATCTAGAGTTTTCATTTTTTTACCAACATGAAAGAAGTAAACATTTTGCTGAGCAAATGCTTAGAAACAGATGTCCGTTTTTTAATTTTGATATAGGAAGACATAAGAGTTACTGTCACTGTGTTGAATTTTTTGTGTGTTGTTGAATGAATTTACGCTTTCAGCCTGCCGAGTTTGTTGAATCACACTTTGGCAAACATTCTGGTGCAAAGAATTTACAGTTTTTGCAAGGAACTACAACACTTGCATTTATCTACGAGCCAAAAACACCGGCAGATAAGGGAGGGATTATAATTTCTGTGGATTCGCGTGCATCTGCAGGAGAATATATATGTTAGCCGATTTCATCCAGATTCATTTCAATTCTCGGCGAAAGTCTAAAAATTTTCTTAACTTCCTGATGTATGAAAGCTGGGAGTATATTGTAAATTAAAATTCTTTTTAGCGTCTAAGAGTGTTATGAAAATATTGGATATCGGCGATCGAATGGTAACAACTATGGCTGGTGGTGCTGCCGACTGTCAGTTTTGGACACGTATTGTTGCTAAATATTGCGCGTTAGTTTACAGCATTATTGTAGTTTTTCTTCTTTTTCTCCTTGTCCTTACTTTTACGCATTTTTTAGATTGTACGAGCTTCGAGAAAAGACAGAAATTACTGTGGCTGCTGCAAGCAAATATTTCCAGAATGTTTTGTATTCTTATCGAAACCACGGACTGTCAGTTGTGTGTTTTTTGTTTTTTGCGAATTACTTTATTATGCAGATTTTGCGAGTTCTACTATTTCTTTGCTTTTTTGAGTTTGCTAAATATATATATATATAAAGTTACGATTTATTATGAAAAATAATGTTATAATTCAAGGAGTTCTTTTGAATTATAATATTTTACTCTTGGCTTTGCAACCCTCATAACGTTTTCTTTATTAAGAAGTGTAAGAAGTGTTAATTGAATACAAATTTATTGATAAAGATAAAATGTGAGAGTAGAAAAAATGCTTGTTTAAACTCTGATTACTTTTTACAGGGTTCTATGATTGCTGGGTATGACAAGCGTGGTCCTGCAATTTTTAAAGTCGACAATGAAGGACAGCGCGTTCAATTAAGGCTATGCAGCTTAGGTTCCGGCTCGCTGAGGTGTATTTTGCGTATATTCGAATTATTGAAACTGTTTTCGTTAGTTAATGAAAAACGAGAAATTCCTTGTGCTTTTAAACTTGAACAATGAAGGAGTTTGTATGGAATCGTGGTGAAAGCTGACCCCGATGTTCTCTAAAATTTTGGAGCAGAAATACGCGTAAATAACGAAACATATTCGATTCATTTCAGTGCTTATGGTATCCTAGATAATTTTTACAAACCCAAAATGACAGATGAAGAAGCATACAAATTGGGTCGGCGAGGAATAATGCACGCTACCTACCGTGATACTGCTTCTGGCGGTGTTTGTAATAGTTAGTTTTTTTTAGCAGATTTCATCCTTCTGTTTGGGCCATGTTATATTTTGGCTGTTCTGTAGTTCTGTCATGTTTGAAACAGTATTTATTATTAATTCTTGCAGTGGTACACATTTCGCCAACCGAGAAAATACGCTTTCCGCCACTTGACGTCTCGCAACTTTACTACGAATTTGCTAGTGAGCTGGGACGGGATATTGTTTACGAACCTGAAATGGAAGCATAAGTTTTTAGAAATCATTACATTGCATTATACGTTTGTTGAAATTTTCCTATTATGTAATGAAATCTCAATAGAAAGTCCATCTTCCCATTTTTCTTTCAAGACTGCATTCGGGACTTTCAAATAATTAGAATTTTGGAAATCAAATAGGTCCGAAGATAATTACACTCTGGAAATAAGTTATACTTTGATGGGACTTTCTATCATTGTTAGGAAACTGATATCTTAGCAGCGAAAACACCTCAGACATAAATTCGATAACAAAAGCAGCAGTTAGTCAGAGTTTTACTGATTGAAAAAATTCCTAACTTAATCTTAACTTTATGATTCTTGAGTATAGTCCAGTAATTATTTGAAATAAGTGGTATAAACATTTTTGAATCGTCATTTTTCCAGTTCAAGGGCGGCTGTTACAAAAAATCCAGTTCGTAGAACAACTTCGAAAATATCGTTTGTATCATTTTGACGGAATTACTAATTTTGAGGTTGATAAACTTGCAAAGGAATTACTAATGTTGAGATAAACTTCAGTGAATCTTATTAAATCCTGAAAAGACTTTAAAACTTATATAAGTGAATTTTGCAAATGACTTGTCAACACTAGGTGAGATGTAAACATTAAATGAAATATTATTGCATAGCATGTAACATACAGATAAGTTCAGAGCGCCCCTTAAAAAAAGAAACCTGAAGCTAATTTGTGGCAACGGACTTTATTTATCATGCCACTTGAGGGTATTTATTGTTGGATTCTGCTTTGCTTATTTGTTTTGCTATGGCTTACAAGCTGTCGTTTTATCATACGACTCTCCCAGTATTGTGCTGTTCTATCGTACTATTACGAAACAGAAAACAGCGCTTAACGTCATAGAAACCCTCAATAATGAGAAGTTATTCATACCAGGGAATGCAGTCTGTAACAATTCTGCAATTTTGAAAAAAGAAATTGGAAAAAGTTACTTCAATGCATTTATTCATGAATTAATGTTATCGATAAATTCTGATTAGGCATAAAATCACATCTAGCGAATAGAAGGACTGTTGAATAAAAAGTGCCCCAAACACCAAGTTCATAATATACGTGGTTCAAAAGACTGAGTTCATAATACACTCACTTTGCGAATAAATGATAAGTGGTGAGTATGACAACACCAAGAAAGTAAATGTCAAAGTTCTCCGAAAGAATTAAGCTCATGAAATCACAACAGGTAGCCTCAAGCACAAAATGGCAAATGAATAACAATCTAATGTACGTACGCCAAAAAATTAAGAAATAATAAAGATGATGAAAATACTATTTGCGTTTTAACACCAAATGGCCATGGCATCATAATTTCCTTTCCCTTCATGCTTAACAGCCCTATTCTTCCTTTTTAGTGGTGGATAAATATCCACCTTTTGATCTTTTGTTTTTATAACTGGTTTTGCTAGTTTATTTAGCTCTGATGAGATAGACTTTCTTCGAACAGCTCTTATTCCTTCTTCTCCATTGATCTTCCTTTTTTTTTGATCTTCCTTTACTACCTGTACCGCTTGCTTTTTGAGCTGCAACTCCAATGAACCGAAAACACCAAAATCAATATCAGAATCCAACTGCTTTGTGTCTTCAACAATTCTAGAATAATCAGTGCAATTTTCCGTCTCATCTCCTTCACCATGATTTTTGCCAGACGTTTCTGCAAGTTCACAATGAATGTCGCTTTCACAATCTTGCCTTTGTTGCATCTTCTGAAATCTCCTCATAATTTTTTGATACTTCTTAGTTAATTTCATTTCTTGTTCATTTTCCAGATTGAAAATCATTTTCTCAACCAATCCTTGCAATAATTCTAGTTTCTCATCTTTTTTCATTATCTTCCTTAATTTCTTTGTAAATTTATGCTGCCGCCGTTCATCAAACAACAGAATCCGAGATTCAATAAGATTTTTTAATTTTTCGGTAAAGTATTCGACACAAACATTGACAGAAGTCGGTTCTCCATCTCTCGCAGATTTTTGACTGTTTATGTTATTCACTTCTAGACCATTAATATATGGTATGTAATCCTCTTGTTCATCTTTAGAAGCTCTATTAGATGTTGTTGAATAAGAAAGTGAATCATTCTTATCGCCGTTCACAGTAGCACAACTACTGTCAGATAAAACGTTTTTACACTTCTCCAGTTTTTTTGAAACAAGTTCTCTTATATGCTTCATGCTATAGTGCCATTTTCTGTTGCTTTGATCCAGATGTTTCAGATATTCGATGAGAACGGTAATCCAGTCTGAAATTCTTTTCAAAAACTGAAAGCATTTAGAACCAATACCCATGATTGCTTAGGTAGTGGCAGACAGTCAATCTTACGCATACTAAGTTACACTGCATTTAGTCCCGACATATTATAGTTTGTGAATTAATAACAAAAATTCTGCTCTACCGAAACCGGCTTAGTAAAGTCAGTAATCTTCTAAATTTTGTAGATAAACTTTCAGAATAATTCTCTTTAAAAACGTTTACCAATACAAGTGATATTTCTGAGATTCACTGCCCCTATGGATTTTCTAAAATTTGAAACATGAATGCAGAACATTCTTTTCAGAAATTCAGCTTCCATTAGACCATCCGTACAATAACCAATCAAATTTTCCTCTTTGATTCTGCAATGTGAGTTTCTTAGATCATGGTTAGACAGTAGTACTAGCACACACAAGTTTTTATTACTATTCATCTTCTCGTATGTAATACTCAAAACAATTAGCTGGAGGTTAAGATTATGAAAATCGATTCCTTGGCTAAAATTATTCTAAATATAGAGCAATATAATGCAAGAATGCTTTACGCAAACTCTAAAATGTAAACGCTAAAGATAGTATTCACAGTCTTCGTAACTAATGACTACTGCTGATTTCTTATTAAAGCACTAAGAAAATTGAAATTCGTACCTCTTCTGTAATTGTTGAACATCAAGATGATAAAGAAACATTGGTTTTTGTTCCAGAAACAAATTTAGAGCACGCCTGTACTCGCCAATACTTATAAGAGGAAGTTTTGGCATGCAAAAATCTGCGGCTTTTTCTGTATCTCCATCAAATCTTTCGCAAGCTGCACGTAATCTTTCGACCTCTTTCGACCTGCAATAAGAATCAAAATTCATATCGCGAGCATTCAGAATTTCAAATAATTGCTTAAACCATTCCGTAGTGACAAGGAAAAAATCGTGGTACATCAAAACTTATTGAAATTCAGTCGACGCTGCCATAATTTAAACATGTTTTCGTGTGTTGCAATGATGTAAGTGGCGATCATTAAAATAATGTAGCGAAAGATTAAGCTGAAGTTAAAATCTAACACTTACTTCACTTTTCAAAAAAGATAGCACCACACAAAGCTTATTTGAAAATGAAAACTAATACCAAAAATTCTTTATTACAGGAACAGAACGTAACATCTTCCAAGTAAGTGAGAGCCAAGGCAAATACGACATAGCCTTTTCCTGATCTTGAAGCAGTGCAAAGTCGGCCACATTCCACTTTTCTTTTTCTGGCAACATTTCTTCTAATTCCAAGGGACAGTTTTGAGGACGCAACCATTTGATCACAAAACCTTCAAAAAAATTAAAAGATTGTTTTATATATGACTACACTTTCAAGAAGTAATCAGAAATTTGCAATTACATACATTTCTTCATAACCGGTTTAAAAAAATGATGGTGCATATATTGTGCAAGCAACAGTTTTGGTAAGCCTTAATAATTAAGAAGTACGAACAATCTTGACATGCCTCTTATTACGAAATTTATGCAAAAACAGCAAAACTTATACTACCATAAAGAACTTGTCGCGTACTATCAGCCAATTCAATGTCACAGTCGTCAAAATCATACGGTTTTTCTGTTCTCCTTCTCAATATATTAATTCGATAATCTACTTCGGCCTTCGGTCGTTCCAAGTGAATACTTATAGCCCGAGATGTGCAACCCTCAGCATACAACTTTTCAAACTGTTTCTCTAGTTCGTCATTCCATTCCGGCCTTTACATGAAAAACAAACGTTTCTTTGAGAAAAACAATATTTACAAAAACAATAATTGTGAAAAAAAATTTTTTCTAAATCTATCTCTATAAAAACACATTCTAACTTGAAAGAGATTTGTTGTAATTTGATCCAAAATCATACCATTTTAATTATTCAACTTAATATGCCTCAATCAATGCTGCAAATTAATAGACAATTAACCTTCATAAAAAAAGCCATTATACATCGCACCTTTTTTGATGTTTACTTCCATAAACACTAATATATGTTTTAGCAACTGAAAAAAAGATCAGTTCAGATCAGAGTACCTGTTTTTTTCACCCGGATGATACACAATTAACATTCTACTGATGACCTGTCGCCCTGTTCGATCACTGAATCCTTCACCTAAGAAAGCGATGAAAATTAAAAATGATAACATTAAAAATGACATGGGCACAATATTAAAGCAGTAACGTGCTCATGCTTTTTTGACCTTTTTGGCTCATGCTTTTTTGGAAGAAATTCTCTATCGTTAATCAATTTTTCTTCCATTACTATGTTAGAAAAAACTTACACATTGCTGGAACAAAATTTGTTTTGTTCTGAAATATTAATAAATTAATCCGTTCATCTCGACTCATTTCTTTGCTACAACCACCCGCAAATTCATAAGCTCGACTGTAGTCGACATCATTTGCTGCTGCGTATCTCTTCCAGTTCTAAAAAAAAGTGTAATCATTTTTGAAAGATTTCAAAATATACTAACTTTTGTAGACAAAGAACAAATCAAACCTTTATAGCATGCCAAAGTGGCAATTATAAACAAACAGAGAGAAAAACAGCACTCAAAAATGGCCTTGCAAAGACTGTAACAAAATATCAAGGAAAGAGATCAAACCCTTTTAAGCCGCTTATTTTCTTCACTTGAAAACTGACCAGTTTTTAACTCGATCCCTTAAAAAAATGCTCAGAATTTCGATAGATTACCGACTGAAGGAAGAAATTCCGTAAAATATATTTTGAATATGAACTGTGCGAGATATGAGAATATCAACGCTGCCACTTCTCAGCTTATAAATATGCCAACTCTAAGGCTAAAGTCACTAATTTGGACAATTTTTCACTAGATTTTTTCTATTCTTTGCATTGTCAAATAAAAATAACTGAAGGAAAGAAACAAAAACGAACCACACTGCTTGATCCGTTGCAAATGAATAGATTTTAATGCATACCGTCTCAAATGATAGAATAGAATGCCCTGTTTTGTCAACACACCTGTCGCTGGCAACAATACTTTTGCACGACGGGAACAACATTCATCGTCAGAACCCATCCTCGCAACTACCGGATACTTTCTGAAATCTACAATATAAACCCTCCCGCTGCAACATACCAATAAATTCGGTCCTTACCCTTCTACCGCTGATTTTTAAATCCATAATATCACTGTTCGCCAGACAACTAATCGAAAATAAAAATAGTACTGTAATTGGGAGGTAACAGATATTGAAAGACGTCATAGGAGAAAGCACGCCGTTGCATATTAGAGAGAGGTGAGATGAAGTAAGAGAGTCTTTGTTGATAATGAAGTGTCTGTTATTAAAAAGAACGGACAAGAAGCAAGAGGCAAGAGTACAGTAGAAATACAGACTCGACAATTGAGAAAAATCTGATTTTGATATATTCCCTAGTTCCCTCCCATCCAATAGCGAACCACTCCATCATCGTTGAATAAATTAAATCCAAGTAATTTAACGGATGGATTGTGAAAGTGAGGAGTTTAGGCTGGATGGCGAAAGTGTAGTGTGAGGGATACGTGGATGCCAAACTATTCCCCTGTTTCGTGCTTATCTCGAATACTCACTTATAAGAGCTTTTCGAACGATCTCATTTCCGGAAATATCATTTTATGGCGAGAGAGAGGTGTGCTGTGCTCTGTTGGTGTCTGAGGTGCTTAGGGGATCAATATTATGAGATTGGCAGCTTTTTCTATCCTAAAGTGATTTTAAACTGGATTCCGTGGCTTTATTTTGTACAGTTAGGTAGAAATGCTGATTCTATTTCCAGTAACCTTTCAACGAAGCAGCTTCGTTTGTGGTGGGCACTCTTTCTGAAGTATGTGAAATCTCGTTCTACCCTTTTCCTATGAAGTCTTTTGCTTTTGACATTTCTTTGTTCTCATTTTTTGTTCCATTTTTGAGTCAAAAGTGCTTTCAGAATTACTTCAGTTTCGGACAGACTATACAATGGGATATCCAGCTCAGATGCCGAGAGGAGGAGCAATGACCAGTAAGTTTTTGTACATTTAATGACTTAGTCATCCAAACAATGGTAGATTGGTAGTTTGATCTTCTTTGTTCGGTTGCTGCTATATTTCATATGTATCATTTTCTCAGCATTTTTCAGATGGAGTTGGCTTTCGAGGTTCGCCGAGAGGTGGTGGTGGTGGCTTTCGAGGGTTATCAAGAGGTGGTGGATTTCTTGGGTCACCCCGAGGAGGAGGTGATAATTTCGCGTACATTCTTATTTGTAGCTAAGATCCTGATTTTTGCACAGATATTAGATCATGAAGATAATTACAGATATAGACATTATTAAGTTCCAGGTCGAGGCGGCTTTGGTGACAGGAACGGTTTTGCAATGGGAAGTTTTGGTGACAGGAGAAGTGGTAGTAGTGGTGGAAGAGGTTTCCGTGGTGGGGGTGGTGACGGTCGCGGAAGGTTCGTTTGCGTTCTTTAAAATTTTTTGGTAATGTATTTATGATGATTGGTTGCAAGCGATCTGTAAAGGATTAGATGTAAAATTTTTGCTTTCTTGTGATCAATTTTCAAGCTCTTATAATGTTAATAACAATAGGTACTCTGTTTTAAAATGACTTTAAATGGAAGGGGTGTTTGTGTCATTATTTCTTTATTTATAGTGGAAGAGGACGATCACCACGTGGTCGCGGAAGCCCTCGAGGGAGAGGACGAGGTGGAGGAATACGGGGTGGTAGGAAGGTCATCATTGAACCGCATCGGCATGAAGGTTAGTTTCATTTGTGCTTATTTTTGCTTTTTTATTTTATGCAACACAAAGTGGCCAACTTTTTATTAGCTAAAACATTTTTATTACGCGGGATCCAATCATTTATAAGGCCTTATTGAGATCAAAGAATGCCTTTATTTTTCTTTGATTCCTCGTTTTTGCGTTCTTCATCTGAGAAAGTACTATTTCCATTACAGGTGTGAACTAGTTTATTTGATTTGAGAAATGGTCTGTTTGAGATAAAAGAATGTTTTTTTGAATTGCCATATGCAATTTTTGTCTTTCAAATGCAGGCGTTTTCATCGTGAAAGGCAAAGAGGATGCATTGGGTACTCGCAACTTAGTTGTTGGTGAGTCAGTGTACGGTGAAAAAAGAGTATCTGTTGAAAATGATGACAAGGAGAAGGTTGAATATCGAATTTGGAATCCATTCCGATCGAAATTAGCAGCTTCAATACTCGGTGGTTTGGATGACATACACATGAAACCGGGATCGAAACTTCTGTATTTGGGTGCTGCATCGGGCACTACCGTATCGCACTGCTCTGATATTGTTGGTCCGGTAAGTTATTACTGTAGTCCTTTCTGTGATACGAATATTGTCGTTAAATAAATTCAAGATTTATTAAAATACTTTTTTAGGATGGTTTGGTTTACGCTGTGGAATTTTCTCATAGATCCGGTCGAGACCTGCTGAATATAGCAAAAAAAAGGCCAAATATCATTCCTATTGTAGAAGATGCTCGTCATCCTCAAAAATACAGGATGCTTATTGGTACGTGGGTCTCATGTTTTCGTATATTTTACTTTCTTTGGTTTTGTTAATGTGTTGAGTGTGTTGACTTCAATGATCTATTATAATTTTATAGGAGTGGTAGATACAATATTTGCGGATGTAGCCCAGCCTGATCAAGCTAGAATCGTTGCTATAAATGCCCACCATTTCTTGAAGAGTGGTGGTCATATTGTAATATCGATTAAGGTTCGTTTGCTGTCGTTTTTCTGTCTTTGTAAATTCATTCATTCTTTGTAATCCTTCTGTGCGTAAGACATTTTAAGGTTCACGACTCCTGATATGATTGAATTATATGAAATGGTAGTTTGAAAACCGAAATATGTTCCAAAGGAAAAATTGTTTTAAAGCAGCTGTAATTACTGTATATCACGAGACGTATGCATATTTATATACACATAATATTTGTATTTTCTACGCTATTTTACATTTATTTTTCTTTCGTAACTCATCCCGTTCTTCATGGGATAGTTGGAGATCATGAAAGTCTGAATGCAACCTAAGGTCACCAATGATCAAGGATGTAACCTTTGTATTTTGCATACCAGTTGAGTCCAAAGCTTCATGGAAGTGAAGCTTTGAAACTCTGAAGGTTTTTCGATTGTTTTTAAATTAAATTTTAGCTTTCATGATACTAGAATACCGGATTTAAACGCTGGGAAAATAAAAGACTTATATCTATGAAAAGAATTTTAAAAAGACTGTATCATTACTCCGGAAAACCATCACTTAGAAATTGATTATTATCATGCAATTCTGAAACTTTGTGCACATTTTTTTGAAGTTACAATCTGTTGCAAAGTATTCAAAAAGAAAGAGCTTGAAATACATGTAAGATGATAGAACAAAAGGAATGGATAAACATATTATTTTGCTGATTTGAGAAATCATTATTTTCTGACTTTACGACTGTTTTTAATTATCTCAGTTTTTTTTGTGAAAGTAATCTAGTCATTTACATCAAACATATATATTTAGTATATTTTTCAGTTCTTATCAACCTTATTAACCAGAAACATATTGCCTAATAATTGTTATTTAGGCAAATTGCATTGACTCGACGGCAGCTCCAGAAGCAGTGTTTGCTGATGAAGTGAATAAACTAAAAGAGGAGAAGTTTAAGCCACGTGAACAAGTAACGTTAGAACCATACGAAAGGGATCATGCAGTCGTGGTTGCTGAGTACCGTCCATTGAAGAAAAAGCAAAGCTAATGTAAATTTATTGTGGAACTTGTATGTTGTTTCATTTGCATCTCAAAAGTTCTTTTCTCAATTTCGTGTATCGTCCGCTGGATGTGATTAAAAACGAAAGTTAATGGAATAGATAAAAAAAATCTCAGTAAAACAATCACTCACTTTTTTGTAGAATCCAGTAAAATAACAACGATCATTTTAAATGATCCACTTTTGGGTGTATAAATAAATTTCAACATCTCAGGTAAGATGCAAAAATTTCTCACGTATTTTTACGTGTGAAAGAATTATGAATGCTTGCTACACTTATTGGTGATTTGATAAAGTTTTTTCTTTAAATCAGTCACGGCTTGGCTTAAAAGGAATGCGGATTTCGTTTTTTGCTCGAACACGGAAATTAAAGATATCTCCATTCATTGTTTTTGGACTTAATTTTGCAGGTAACTTCATCATTAACATACAAAAATATCATTTAATCAAGATATTTGAATCACTAATTGCTCGTGTGATGTTATTTCATGTTGCAAAATTTCATCTGTAATCTTACTGGTAACTAGAAAAGTGAAGTGATTGCCGGCACAGTACGAATCATTTCACCAAGTGACTGAATGGTATCCTTTCTGTATTTCCCACTGCGGAAAGCTGATATTTCATAATGATTAGGTGGTTGACTTAAAGTGTTCGACAACGAGGGATCCCGTTTTCTCAGATTCTAGATTTGCATGAGTCATTTTTTCAAAGCTTTTAAATTTAAATTCAGATGTAGGGTTTGGATGTCATAGCTTCCAGTCATTTGTTTTCTGCTTTTTGAAGTGAATCTTTGAAAAAATGATGAGAAGCGTTGATAATTTAAAACAATTGGTTTAGTGAACTCTTGGAGTTAGAGCCTTTCCGCATGTTAGGTTAAATAGGCTTCCCTCACATATTTAGCTGGAGCCATTTGAAGAGCACGATGATTGCGGTGATGGAAGTATATTTATAATATGTTCCAAATAATACTTTCCATCTTTATCAAATCAGTCTTCCCAAAAAGAAATTCTTAACCGTCTTTTTTCCCCCGCGGCATTTATTTATCTCTCCTACTTCATTCTTAATTTTTCCTTCCGCGGCATTTACAGCATCAGTTTCTTTTCATTGAAAACAAATTATATTCATTGTACTTGTTCATCATGTACTTAGCAAACGAATCAGATTTATTCATGCTTTTCATCCTGTTTTCATTTTGTTTTAAAGAAAAAAGAACTGACTGTCTTTCATCAATAAATACGATGAATATAATTTGGTCATTATCATTATCAATTTAGAATAAAAAAAGTGGACGGAAATTCGAATACACTGAAGATTCAAATCAATCAGGATCATAGTTCCAATGATTTCCATCATTGGAACTATAATCCTGATTGATTTGGATGGATGAATGAACGAAGGAAAAGATGAAAATTGGGGAATTCAAGACCGAAATACAAGTAGTGTGTATAAAAATTAGATTAACGAGATCTAATCTTTGCTTTGTAAAAAAATCGAAAAATTACCTTTTGAAAATGAAAGTTAAGGAAAAAGGATAATTCTGAATTATTAGAATAAGTCTATATATTCTGTGAATAGTAAAACTTTTTTTGTGATCAACAAAACGCTTTGTAATAATTAATTGGATAAAAACAGTAAGTTCCGGTTTTACAATGGATGTATTATGATAATACTCTTCTTTTTTTTTAATGATTTAGAAGAATGTTCTGAAAAGTTTTACCAAATAATATAGCAGCTAACTTAGAATTTAATATCGTAAGTAGGGCTACCGTAGGATTTGTTGATGAGCCAAGAAATTGTAGAAATATCCTCTTTAAGAATAACTGGAATTTAAAACAGGTTTAATATTACAGTCGACATATTTTGTAGAAATGACAGTGAGATGGGGAAAGTTAATGGTATTGAAAGAAAATTTATGAATATATTTATAAAATAACTATAGAAGACTGAAGAAATGACACTTCCAAAGTGAGACCACTTTAATAGGCCTTTATTTTAATGAGTTAAAATACATTGTTGACAACGATAAAAGAAAATAAAAAGCTAACAAGTATTTTTATTGTAGAAATGAGAAGAGATATGAGTTATGCATACTTTTATCCAATAAAAAATACATTCCCCATGTCTTTTTAACTAGGGTCCCAAATAATGTAGGAGGGACTTTATAATCTAATTTTGAAAGAGATGGAATGATCAAATATATGATATCTTGATATCATAATAATTCTGAAAAATAGCAATCAAATTTCTTTAGTAGCAAACAAATTCTGAATACTTTTTATATCATTCTCATCATGTTTCCTTTTTCAATTTTATTAAACAATTTTTCAAATAAAAATATTAAATCACAATAATTCCAGGAATATTTCTGGCTTGCTGGGTTACATTTTTCCCGGTATATATTCTTAGTGCAGTATGCATTGAGATGAATATTAAGAGTTATCAAGTTAATTTCTATGCTTTTTTCCATATAACTTGGTTTGATTACATCAATTCATGTATCAATCCAATCATTTATATTATCTATTTTCAACGTGGAATTTCAATGTGTCTTTAAGCATATATTATTTGGTAAAGTTCGTTTATTTATTTTTTTATTTGGAAATTTGATTGTCTTTTTAACCCGAAAGAGATAAATTTCATTTCGTTTTTTCTAGCTTTTCACTCGAAAAGACTCAAGAAAGAAAAATTCAACATCTTCATGTTTCTAATCGTTACAATTCATTTCAAACATAATAACCAATCAGAAAATTGTAAGTTGACGATTTCTTCTTATTCCACTAAATTCTTACTTTTCATACAAATGGATAAATGAAGAAGAAATTTGTCATTCATTTGTTTATAGTTATCAAAACAATGAAAAAATTTCTCATAAAAGATCAAATCAGAAATGACCGTTCATTTTTGTTAATGATTTTATCTAAGATTTGTATGCATTATGGGTTTATTCTGAAGATTTGTATATATATATATATATATATATATATATATATAGATCATCAATGAATGCATTCCTTTCCATTAATCCAAACCTGTTTTGGCTCATAATTAGGACAAAAGATACGAAGGTGGAGCGATGGAAGTTCAGGATATAGCTTGGTGTCCATGTAGAAATTAATATCAACACCTGCTTGGTGTAAATGAGTTACAAAGATCTGTAATTAGTACTGTTCTTCCTTTGAAATGAATTGAATTTTTTACAGAAAATAAGCTACAAAAATTATAATTACATTGAACAAGTTTTTTTTATTGAACTAACCTTTGCAGGAATATAAATATCTTTGGAATCTTTTCGTGCTTTCATCATATAGCTAAATGTAGCACGTGGGCATTCTTTTAGAACTTCAATCTTCTAAATTTTGGAACTTCAATGAAAATATTAACTTGAAATGATAATCCATATAGATATTTAATGATTTATGATGATTGAGATTCTTTTTCAATTTTTTACATATATCATATTTGAAGTTACCGTCCTGATTTTCTTCATGCTTTTTTTTAGAAGTTGATTTCTATCAAAATATAACTCCTTACGTAGCAAGTTTTTAAAACGGAATTTGTAAAGTTTGAATTGGAAGATAACTTGGAATTTTCATAGCTTGAAACTCAATAAATACTGACGATAGGTTGGTAGCAAATTTTGCCCTCTCGTCCAACTGTGATATCTGTAGAGAGTATATCCACATCAACGGCATGTGCAACAGTTGGCTGAAATTTTTTTTGAATATGAAAAGGAAGAAAATTTGCGATATCGAAGTACTGCTCTAAATTTTTTTCTCAATCAATTAAAAGTTGCTTTCAGTAGAGAACAAGTCGAAAAGCGTTTCTTCCTTGCACAATTGATATTGGAGAGTGAACACTGGTACATTAGAGCAATGAAGATACCCAATGCTGGATGGTTTTGATTTCTGAATATCCCTGTACAAAATGAATTTAAAACGAAATCTCGATTTGATTTAATTTTGGTTTTTAGTTTAGTTGTAAGCAATTAGTGCCAGATAATTACTTTAAAGTAAAGATTACATCCATCACATTCCATTTTTTATAAATTGTTGTGAGAAGAAGACTTGGTTTCCTTCGATGTTTCAAAACGCTAGAATCAAAAATAGGCAAACTTAAAAAAATTCAAGTCAGATTAAAATCATTATTAAAATCAAATATATTCACCTGTGCTCCACTAACTGACGAATTGGTTCTTGGAAGTTTTGATTTTAAAACCGATGCGCCTAAATGTGAATTGTACAGCAGCTAAGTATGTTGTTCAATTTGAAAAAAACGTAATTAAAATTTACTATTCAATTACTGAAATTGTATTTTCAACCGTACTTTCAGATGATGTTTTACTATCACTTATCACTTCGAAACTTTCATATGCCTTTGGATTTTCAGTCGGTAGTTGATTGCGTCGAGATAACTAAAATAAATCAGAACTATCACTGAGTTGTTGATTTATTAATCAAAAACAATTGGACACTTTAACTAATCTTCAAGTTTATAAACTTCCAACACTTCCTTCCTTCATTTTATATCCTTTTTTCGACTCTAATTTTAGAAATAGGTTGGGAAAACAAAATTTCGAAAATGGTAGCAAGGAAATAGCATATCACATAATAAGTTCCAAATCAAATCGATTGATAATAAATAACACTTTAATTATATGGATCAATAATTAGCTTCGATTATTTATAATGCCCACTTATCCGTAAAACTACGTAAAATTAATTGTTGAACTACAAATTGAAACACAGGAATTTTATTATACTGCGTGATTTAAACGGATAGTGTTAAATTATCATTAAATCAAAAATTGTTTTACGAGTCAAATACATGACAAGTAAATGTATCGGTCTGATAATGTTTGGAAGGAAAATATACGCCTGACTGTAAATGATAATGAATACAAGTCATTATTAAGCTCTGAATTCAATGTAAGCTAAAGGAGCCGCCTAAATCTTAACTTCATAATTTCAATTTAATGAATTATAAATATAAATTTTCAACTTAGTGAATTATAAATATAAATAAAGTGTTAAAGAACCTCTTCAGCCTTGTTCAATGTCATATTCATGATATAAGTGAGTAGATTGACAGCTCCTAACGAAAAACTTTCATGCTGATTGCTGGACATTTTATTCTTTCTTCAACTGATAACAAATAATCTTTTCTCTCAAAAAAAACTAGGTATTACCACCAATGATAGCAATAATACATGATGGGAGAAATAAAAAATATTTTCAAGAAATATGTTTTAAATCGACCAACCTGTAATATTCACCAATCAACAATGAATCCACTTCAAAAAATATCGATTGTAGAGATGCTTGAGCCAATCAGAAATTCTCATTAAACCTTTTCCTCCTCTCAGAGAAGACTATTTTTAATAAAACAGCTTCAGTTAATCATATTCAAAGAAGTTTCTGTTCCTTTTTTAGGCAATGCTATTCCTAACAAATCTCATTCACTCTTGTAATTCCTAAAAAGGCACATTGAGAGCAATAGAAGCTTTCAAGTAACTCCTTAATTCCAGATAAACTTATTAGCAGCAACACTTAAATCATAAATCACAATGACAAAATAGCGACTTATCTGCCTTCTTTTTCGAAGGCTTCAAAGTTCTTAAAAACTATTTATAAACATCAAGCATGAAAATCTCATAATAAACATCAAATGCCGTCGATATATCCAAGAAAGTAAAAAGTCTAGAGTCCGTACCTTCCTTAATTTTAGAGAGATCTAAGGAATAATGGATTCGTGGTATCTAGTTTCTTGGAAAAGCCGTGAAATGTCGATGAAACTGTGATCAACTTATTATTCATCGAACAAAATAAGAAAGACCTACAAGTCTGAAGAAACGAATGAGACAAAAAAATTCACCACAAAAACTAAACGTTAACAAGATAAGCCCGTTTTAACAGCAAAACAAAATTGTTGTAATAAGAAACTTGAGCAACCTCAGAAATAACAAAATAAAAACGTTTAGAAAAAGGAAAACTACCAATGTCAATGCGAAACAACGCTAAGACAGTTTCTTAAATGAAAAGTATGGATATAAAAAAATCAGAAAGAAATCCGAAACATTTCCATTTGCTTAGTTCTGCTATCAAGTTTACACATTGCCACATCTTCGAAATCACACATTTTAAGAATATCAAAAATTGAAACAGGAAATTATATCAACGATTCTCAATCAACGATCCCTGTCAAAATCATTATTATTCGGTATCGAAATCGCTTTTGTTAAAGAAATCTTCCAGCCTCTTTCTCACACTGTCGGATTCGCTACCGCTATATTCTTTAACCCAAATCCATAAACGTTCTAATGATTCCATGTTGTCAGCACCACCTGGGAAAAGTAATCAAAACATCGTAAAGTTTGCAATTTGTTCGAGAATTCGAAAATTCTACGGATTTCGTTGTCAAGCCCTTTTAACATCAAGAAAAGGTAGTTGAAAAAGATATTTACGCCACTCACCTCCATTAAATAAACCTCAAATTTTAATTAAATAATGCAAATACGTAACGTTTCGAAGTAGTGATATAATTCAACACATTTTTCACAATGAAGCATAAACATACTTGCTATCTCAAACCAAATATTTTGGGTCACATGTATGAGTTCTCGAAGTTGCTTGACATTAGCCTTGAACTTCTTCATTTCTACTTTCTGTCTTCGGTTGTAACGCGGCTGCCAAGTTGATAATAGTGATATGATATAACTTTTGTGATTTGACTTCTAAAAACTTTTTCTAGAATTTCATTTGTTATTATGAAATTGCGAAAAGAGGTGGATAGAAGAAGTAACTTGTGCTTTATAATAAATTGATTGTCAAATTCAAAACTTGCTTGAAAATCCTTCATTAACTCTTCCGATGAAAATTTTTGTTGCGAATATTTTCGAGTGTTTCGAGAACTGTTTTCTTTTAGTAAAGAAGTCAGCAAAACAGTCGCAAAATGTTCAACATGAGGTAAGTTGTCCTGAAAGTTTCACAAGTAATACAGCTAGAACCAATTAGCAAATCAAAACGATTCAAAGCCTCGACCATAGCAGTCTAAAATATGAAACGATTTCAATTCAACAATTCAACGATATTCAACAATATAAATTTTTTTAGTAATAATAAATTTTTGAAGTTTCATTGAAGAAATATACCAGATCATTTTGCATACGGAAGAGCGGTTCTTTGAAATGATATCCAGATATTTTCAACTGAAAACATACATTAATGTTAGTCGAAAATGTTAATCGTAGACCAAAATAAAAAATAAAACACACCTTAAAATGCTTCAGATGTAAATCCTACCCTTTTGAATATCAGCTCCGCCTCGCAAATCATATCTGCCTTTAACAGCTCCATAACAAGTTCAGCGAGACCATCATAAAATGCGCCAAATTCATCGAGTTTCTCCAAAATATTTCCTGAAATTATTCTCACGAAATATAGAAGTCAGACTGTCTAAAAGTTTAAGAAAAGATTCTGACTAATAGAGTCACAACACAACAAAATGTGTTTATGTTAGCGAGCGTGGTTTCGTTTTCTTATTTATTCTAATATTCCTCTCAAGCAACTGGTTAAGCTAATTTGCATATAAGTACTAATAACTTTTTAGTTTGACTTCTTAGAGTGACCTGTTCACACAAGCTGCATTTAAAGACTCCTAATTGCTAAAGGAACAATAAGTATTGTAATATTAAATAAGACACGGTACTTTTCACTATCATTTTTCATCAATCAGTGACGAAAACTCAAGTAAATCATACAAACTTGAACTCACGAAGTCTTTTCTTTCGAAATACATCATTCAGATTTTTTTCCAGAATAGTATGCCGTATAAGAAGATCACTACCCGCACCAATACGATATTTCTGAGCATTTTTATACCATACGTTGAAAGCTGTATCAAAACTACCACTGCAAATAAATAAGTACAATCTAAAAAGGTCAAATGCATAAAAATCATTGGTTTTTTAGAAAAGCGAACCTCTGCAAATAGGATTTAACAACAGCACGCAAATAAGTTGAAGGACTGCGAAGAAAGCCTAAGTTAATCAATATGTCGCACAAATCTTGAATTCCTGGTACATTATTTTTTTTGAAAGCTTCAGTAAAGAGATCCTCAGCAGCAGCTACGGAACGATTGAAAAATAAACCATCTGCGGCTGTAAAGAAGTTGAATCACAAAATCAATTTAGCATCTAAGTATATATAAAAATAATTAATGCGTGATCCTCATTTGTCCTTTAACTTCAGCAATTATAGCACTAGATAGTATTTTCTCATTACATTGAGACGTCGGTAGTTTAGGATTTTCTTTCAGAACTCTGACGATTAATCGATATATACACGGATCAAGTACATATATATACATATATATATATGAATATATATATATATTCATTAATCGTAATAAATTATACTATTAAAGGACATACGTGACTTAATAAGTAATAGATTTCGACATTGAATAGCGGAGTCGATAGCAGCTTTTATTCCTTCCTCGGCTAGAATTCGTGTGATCAGTTGCAAAACAATTGAATTCGGCAATGCAACACGATTGTTTGCTGATGCACTGCAGCAGAAGAATATTAAATTTGAACCCTAACCATACTTAAATGTTTGAAATCAGAAATTCAGATACCAAGGTTAACAGAATACATATTAGCCATCATTTCATGAAGACTTTGACAGAGAATGATGCATGTCATCATTGTTAATAATCACTTATGCAAAAAAACATACAAGCTGTCCATAAGCCATAAAGCTTCTTTCACATCTTTTCCATACACGATAAAGACTTCAAAAAGCTCGGCAATAAATGTTTTCAAACGACGATGAGATGGCCAAAGTTCCTTATTCAAAATCCGTCTCAATCCAGCAACATTCTGAAATTAAGAAGAAATCCATGTTTTGAGTATTAAAGTTTTGAAAATATTCGGCATAACAAAAAATGGCACCATTCTCATATAGAACACTGAAATGCTTCTTCAGTTTGTTCTTCATTTACCTTTTCCAAAGTAAGTTGTTTCAGCTGTTCTACTGATGCAATTCTGGTTTTTGAAGTTACTAATTCATCGCTTTCATTCCTGGATGGTTTTTGAGCTTTTTCCTGACAAGACAAAGTAGTGGCCGACATTGCCCCATCATGAATAGTAGTAAAACATGGAGTTGTTTTTAGAGTCCGTAACTGAAAATTTATTATAGGCCGCAACTTGCTCGAAATAGGCTGCACACAATGATGATCCTGAAAATAACATAATTTATCTTTTGCAACACAGAATTCTAATAGTGACACATTTGCTTCTCGATAAAGAAGAGTCTTTTGAAGTATCAAATTTATTTTACTTAGAACTAAAAATGATCGATAAATTTATAAGCCAACAAAGTACAGTTATCGATCTCACCATATCACATTCACTTTTATGTAGTAACGCTCCTCGATTCTTAACAGCTTTTTTTGTTGCAACACAGGGACGCGCTAATCGCAATCGAGTGTAAAATGTCCGCTATAAAAAAATTTATAGAATTTTGAAATATCATTCTTTTGTAAGAAACGGTTGAGTTGCGCTGATGTACAAAGTAGCAGCGCACTGGGAAGAAAGACAGCAATCTTCGGAGAATTGAGGCAATGAAAGCAGAGCTATGCTATAAAAGATTAAAAGGTATAACTTCCAAAATTTTAAAACAGCATTAGAGAAAAAGATGAAACCCATTGCGGCTTTCGTAAATCTGTTCTTGATTTACTGCTCAACACTCTATCACGTGGTTGTGCATCATTAAATGCAGTAACCGATGTGCTGTGATCGGTTGGGAAACTGAAATTTGATATTCTTTATGCTCTTGTAACATGTAAAGGAACATCAAACTTGCTGGTTTTCTCGTAAATAATTGAGAAAATAAATGATTACCTCGACATCAACATTTCATTAGTTTGAGCAGGCAAATCATCCAACACGCCATCAATATTATGCCATCCGCATGATTCAAAGAAAGATTCCAAAATTCCGATCACATTTTCACTAACTAAATCAAACACATTTAAAATTAATCAACTATATTCGCTTTATCTTCTATTATAAACTTATAGAAGACGGATACATAGAAATATTCAGTTATTTTACAAAACTAACAATTGTTGTTCAGATGATCGTAAAAATTTTACACAAATAAAAACTAACATCCATCCTTCTCATTACTTGCACCGGTTGGATTGGAATCCAAAAATTCGAATGATTCATTGAAAGAACTGAATGCATTCCAACATATTTGACTATCAAAGAGTGAATTTTCAATATAATGGTAGAAAGCAAACAAAAAAATTTTGACTGACACGGTTTTTATCATTAGTAATAACTGCATGACATTATAGTTCAAAATTTAGCGACATAAAAAACACTGATTATCAGGTGTAATGTCTATTACAACCACAGAGACCGGCGATCAGCTGTCAGCACGATATTATGAGTGCTCACTGAAATAACAACCGGTGATATACTCAGAAGAGCTAAAAGCTACAAACAAAATATGTAACGTACTCCCGTTTATCGCGAAATACGTATCCACACCATTTCATTGCTTGTCGATGGAAAATTTCTACGTCGAGATTTACTGATAAAGATGAGCCAGAATAAACCGCTGGAATATTATTTAAAAAGTTGAGCAATCGTCTTTCTAACATATATTTTGTATGCCAACAACTGAACTGCACGGACTCTACTAAATTATTCAAAATATTACAGAAACCTGAAGTAGAATCTTGATGACTCGGCAGCACAGCCCCCACAGAAAACTTGCATCTATGCAACAAACACCTGCAAGTATCGGCAAAAACTAATAATAGAACGATAAAGAGAGGAAGCAAAATTCAATACTGAATGATGATGAAAAGATTTAAAACAGACATGTAGGGAAAGATAAAAGATATTTTTAACTTTTTTACATATTACATAGTTGCAAAAACCTATAATACCTGCAGTTCGAGTAGCGTAACATCATTGCAATATACAGAATTTGGAGCACAGCATCATAGCAGTACCTTGAATTTGTCCTAATTAAAAAGAAAATGTAGGGCAATCATTATAAGAACAGTTGGAACACAATCCTGACCAAAAAATAACCCTGGGATACGATCTTTTACAAATTTGCGAATTAGGAAATTACTATCCATATTGTTATTTATTCCTATGAAATTTCATGAAAATAAAAAAGCCAAGAAAAACTGAAATATGAGAAGTTTTTTATTATGGAAAAAACAAAATGATTAACAAGAAGAGATAGTGAAAAGTCGATTTCAATATTAATAAACAATGATGGCTGTTAAAGTCCAATGATACAAACGCAAAAGCAGCTATGCAGTGAAAGATTTTATCATCATTATTAAAAAGTATATTAATCGTATATTAATAGTATATTAATCGTAATAATAAAAGAAGTATTGAGAAGGTTTGTGGGCTCCTGAAATGTTATTAATAAATTACCTGTAAGCCTGAAAACCGCAAAAAATTAACAACCAACAAATCCAACATTGCAACATCAACAAATATCGGTCAGGAGGCCTTACAAATCAGATTCCTTTAAAATGGAAAATTTTTTTGGGGGTGAATTTTGGTGCCCAAATCACTCAGATAAGAAATGCACTACCTTGAACGAATAATTCTATTAATGTAAACGGCAAAAATAATGGCAACAGCACTTCAAAAAGTAAGAAATTTTCCATTTTAATATTTCCGAGCTTCTTTTCTGAATTTGCCAAGGAATCAGCCAGTGATAATGTGAGTTGCAACCTACAGAAATGCAACCTATAGAAATAATCATTTAAAATAATTTATGCTGAAAGTTGTAAACCACGCTTCTGACGCAGAACGCGCGAGATATAAAGATAGAAGAAATCAGCATAAAGTACGGTTTGAACGATTCCAGATATGACAGCGATGGGATCAAAAAACCCTTCTGTATAATAGCGGTAGATCCAATTCAATATATATAAAGCCCTGGAAAAAATTATTTTATGATATTTTATTTGTTGTGTATTGGTATTTATTTCAAATTTTTCTACAAACATAATGTTTGAAAACTCTCCCAAAAAATGCTCTAATTAAATAAATTAAATCTCTTTCTCATTAAATAAAAAAGTAGTAAGCAGTGGTTGCAGGATATAAAATGCAGACGAAATGTGCAAGGTACAATAATCGGAAAATCTAGAACTGGTATGTTTCAGAAAGGCTCAGAATATACTATATATATATCTTCGAATGTTCGTATAAGATGTCTACATACCGATACGAACCAAGCGCGAACAAATAATGTGCGGTAATGGTTTCAGCGCTACCGGTGCGAGAAAGCATGAAGAGTTGTGGCATAATAGCAACAGCTTCCAAATAAATCGAAAATGTCCACATTACCTATAAATTTATATATATATATCACTTCAGTCATTCGATTCAAAAACGGAAGAAAAAACACCAATACCTCCATGATCGTAAATTCGTGATTGATCAGCAAAGCCAAAAGAGCACACGGAACCACCAAGAACTCGATACGAAATGTATCGTGATTTCGGTCATAAGTTGCTTTAAATTTGATCCACATCAGATACAGAGTACCGAAAGACGACACCAGGAAGAAAACCTTCAAAAGGAAATAAATGGATATCGTGGTGACAGATCAGAAAAAACACATATTTATCAGGAAATAACGTATGGTACAAACTAAAGTGACATTAAACTGAAACAAAATTTCAAGACATCAATTTGGATGACACAAAATAATGGAATATGGTGAAACAAAATATTCCATATATTTAATAAATTGGTTAAATATTTTCTCCAACTATGTAAAACAAAATGAATGTTTATTTAACAAAAAATGCGGAAAAAACCTTCATGGCCGAATTGTAGGCGGAAATGAAATTGGTAAAAAGGTCCAAGTATCGAGATGTGAAAACGGCAGCGAAAAGAAGCTGTGATCTGCCTGATATACCAGCAACCGATCGTGTCGTCCACATCTTCAGTGCCAAAATAAAAATGGCAACAAGATGCGCCAAGTCTGCCGTTAGTCGAAAGATGTTCATCTGAAAAAATGTACAAAAGTCATTGCTCATTAATTTATGACTGCTCAATTCTTAAACAAAATACAGGTAACATTATTAATTATTCAGCATGATGTAAAAATGTAAAACTGTATTAACCAATACGATAATTAAAAAAGAATTTATTCCGATTTTATTGTAAATGCAGTGAGGTAAATGTTGGTATAGGACAACTACATTATATATCCTTACAGAATTTGAATTCTATGAATGACATTTCCTTAGCCATTGACTGCTGTACCATTTAGTAATGAAACGGGATATTTCGTGTGACTTGGAATGTGTACTGTATAACATACTGAAGCACTAAGTGAAGCCCAATTGTTAATGGAACATTATCAATAACGACAACAGTTAACGACAAAGGACTTTACTGCACGTAAAGATTACCACTAATAGAACTTTCCTGCATTGTTATTACCTGAATAAAATTTACACGCCACTTCCAAGTTTTACCTAGTCCTTCGAAATTCTGTCTACTCGGGAAATGTACTGTTCAGAATTATGCAATGGAATGCGATATGATATTTCAACTTCTATGCACAAATATTTCCTAAATAAAGTTCCCATATCAGAGAAACTATATTAAAGACATGGAAAACGAGTGGCAATCTTCGAAACACTCAGTGGCACGATGAAAAGCATCGTCTCATGAATTGCCACTTCACTGATATCCCAACCTCTATGTTCTGAAATTGCTGGAATTACAAAACAATAGTCCCCTATGATTTCCGGAGAAGCATTAGATGTACGTAGCAATATGCTGACGAAGGAACAAGTCAAAAGGAAGAACGGCTGGTCACATCTTTCTCCTTTATATCTTATTAATTGGGAATAACGCGCTTAAATGCCATGGGAAAAAATAATGCATTAAAATGCCATTTTTATTAGACACATGTACATAAACGGGAGAACTCTGAACAAACTATACGTAATTAAAAAGAGTATTTTTAAGATACTGATACCTGAGCGAAAGAAAAACAAAATAGTATCAACAGAATAAAGTCCTAATTTTGTCCAAGATTTTCGACTAGGAAGCAGAATCGTTTATCACTGTTATTCAAATTTACTCGAAAGTCACACCATAACCATACTGGCATCTCCTTCTATTCGTGCTGGCAATCATAACCTAATGAGGGATCCTGAAGCGCAAATTCCTGTTGCTGCCACTGATTACACATTTTCTAAAATGAAACTTTCCTAGTTCTTGCGACATGTTAACTTTTCTGGTTCTTATCATATAATGGGGAGTTATGAAAGACTGTTACTAAAATGAATTTCTAGTACCACACGACATTCGAAAGTTGCATCGATCATTTTCTTCAGCAGCAATAAAGAATGCACTTAGTTTCACTACATTCCAATGCTTTTGAGAAAATCCTTCACCAAATAAGCTTGATCTGGATCTTTTCGAGCTAAAAGCAAATTAAAACAGCACATATGAAATATCACTACATGGTATAAATATGAGCGTCATTAAAAAACAAATTTCTTGTTACTTACTGCAATTCTTCAAACAATTCAATGCCAAACGAGTGCAAGCTTCATCATATTTGCTGTATCCCAGTATTTTTGAGAAAAGGTTTAGATAGTTGAAGTGAAAGTTATGCCCCTAGAAACGTTAAGAAATAGAAAAATAAGTTTGAGAAAATACAAGATGAACTCCACATAAAATATTTCGATCTAAAGCATTTGTAAAGTCCTAAAAGAGACTTTACATTATGTTTGATTCATGAAAATAGCCAATGAAAAAACGATGACAAAAAAGATCGAAATAGAAACGACTTAATGGAATCAATAACAATAAATTAAATTTCAAGAAAAATAAATACCTCATCAAGATTTAAAGCACACAACAGTTTATAAGTCTGGAAAACGTTTACCCATCGGATATTAACCTAAAAAATCTCATAGTTTAATGTCTGAAGGAAAGGATTCTGGAAATTTATTTAAAAATTGGTTTGAATCTTACATTTTGTAGCAAACGACTGCCCTCTTCTAGCTTTTCTAAACAAATCATAATCGAAGCAAAGATTATGGAAATTTTCCATTCTGGCCAGTATGTTCTCGCTATGGAAAGAGCTGGAAAAAAAATATTGAGGAAATTGTTTATTTTTGAACAATTTGACAACTGAAATTCATAATAAATTTCTACCTTTATTGGTAAGATTTTCATCATTGATTCTGGCAGCATAATGCAGCAAATAAATGATACCATTTGGAAAATCACAAAATTGGAAAAAACTGCAAACTTTCAAAGCTTCTTCGAAACCAAATCTGTAAAGAGAGGAGTTCGTCATATGCATGTTAAAATTTGAATTTAAAGAACGACGGCTCACAAACAGAATAAGAGATGTGATAAGAAGACAACAAGTTCAATGAAATAACTTTGTTAAAGCCGCTGAAGCAAATGAAATTGAGACAGTTTCAAAGAAGCCGGATTGAATCCATTTAACATCTGCGAGTATCCTAAACATTTGCGAGCAGGCAATTAATGGCTGAATAGTTTGGTGAGAAAGTTCTAAGCACTGTTTTATTAGCCTCTTCATCGTTTTCTGATTCCTAGTATTTGAGTGCAGATCTAGAAAACTTAGCTTCAATTAGAATATTAGAATGAGTTCAGTTGTTTTAATGCACTAAGCCCAACTTCAAGCCAGGATTGAAATGTTGAAGATAGTAGAACGATATGAGCGAAAAACAGAAATATAGAAAAAATCTGAGCTCATGGGCTCTTTTACATATTTCATGAAGTGTTCAGACAACAATTCAATATATGTGGCTTGCTTACCTTTAGGAACAATTTGTTGTAAGTAATGAACAAAATCAGCCGTCATGTTAAAACTCCTGAATTCTTGCAAATGTCTAGCCAGTATCAATAAAACATTGTCAATAGTTAAGTGAACCAAACTACTGCCATCGTTATGTCTAAAAATGAGAAACCGACTTTTTAGAGAACGCACAAATTTATCGTAATTTAAACTATATTAGTGAAGTTTCTGTGAAATTTGCTTAATTATGCCTAATATAAATGTAAAATCCAGCAAGTTAAGTAAAAAGTAAAGAGCTAACATTTGTTTTATGTATTCTGTGAGTATGTTCCAATCAGCTTTACATATGTATAACATAATAATGGGTTGAAACAACTGAGGAATATCTGCCGAACCATTTATTTTGATGAATTCATGGATCTTATCCACCTCCTGCAATTGACAGCGAAATTTATTTCCATTAGGATTGCCTCACACGGAGAGACAGCAGAATAAACAAAAATGAAAATGAGCGGTACAAAAGAATTTCAGCATAAATTCCGTGAGAAGCAGAATATAAAATACTCGTTCTTTTTTTTTTTGAACTTATGACCTTTGTATCAAAAATTCAATGAATATATAACAACCAATTCGTAAAAATCCTCGCAAAACTTTGTTCTTAATGAAGTCTAAAAATTGTATCGTGAAGCGAAATACCTCATTCGAGATGTATTTCTTCAATATAATCGAAAATTTTTCACTATAATTCCTTACATTAGTTTTCTTTCGATTACTTCGCTCCTTCAGCCACCTGAAAATTATTAGAACGTAAAAATTTCAAAAACCTCACCTGCGTCGTTTGTTTAATAGACTTGCAACTTTTCACAAATTTTAGTTTCACCTTGAAATTAGACAATTTACTCACTTTTCCAAATTGCTCACTCCTGTGACAGCAGGTTCTAAGAGTTTGTAAGCATTGTCTTCTGATATTTTATGCTCCTTGATAATATCCACAATACGAACAAGTTGTTCGGTGTTCCAATTGTTCTTTTTTGCGCCATCTTCTCCTGGAAAAATATGCCAGCAGATATCTGTAATTATGTCGCAAACTAATATATTTCATAAAATAATGAAAAAATAGGAGGTTTGATCAAACAAACTTTTATTAAATAATAAAATGATATTAAATAAAAAGAATAAATCAAACCGAGTATAGGCTGCAGAACCAGCTTCCGTACAGCGCCATAATTCAAGTGATTTAAATCGTTGTAACCAACTGATAAAAAACGAGATAATATTTCGAGGCGTTGCTCAACTCCAGATGCACTGAAAATAGTTTCATGTAAAACAAACCTTCAAAGATTAAAGAAATTCATACATAATATAATAATTAATGCAAAATAAATGAGATAGAAAAGGGACATACCGTACAAGTAAGGATATAATGACGTGAATCTTAGTGCGATAAGGATCCAAAATTTTCAAAAGTTCCAAAGTTAGCAGTAAAGATTTTTGAATAGACAGAAACTTTTGCGTCAAAACACAATACAAAATTTTCTCCAGCAAAAAATGCCTGAAAATTTAAGAATATAAATCAATGTATTGTTTTTCCTTACGCTATTATAAATTTAGCCAGACATTTTTCAGCAATAAAACTCGAAGTTCTTACGCATGATGAGTGTTTCGATTTATATGGGTAAACAATGTTTTCAATTCTTCCAAAGGCAAATCAGCATTTATTAGAGCTTTCGAGAAGCAACTAACCCATTCCATATGACGTCCAAGATCTGAAGCAAGAAATTACAAAAAACTCAAAGCAGAAAGCATAATTTCAAACCCCTTAGATAGTAGACTTCATAATTATCATAATATATAAAAGAAGCAGAATTGACAGCAATATTAGTGGATTTAGCAGAAGACATACCACTTCCACTTCCAAAAGTGGATTTGGCTGATTCATGCAAATCACTGTGAAAGTATGAGAGGGCTGAATAGAACATTCCATGGACCGCATGTCGATTTGCCTCTCGAACCATCAATTTAAAAAAACCATGCTCTTTTCTTACTTTCCGAAGTATCTAAAACGAATGATTATAATGAATGAAAAATGAGAACACATGCTTGTCAAAAGAGTAAAAACTGACTTCAGTGCAAAGCTGTTCATGATCTTTGCCCATCGAATCGGTACCATTACACGCCAGTAACCAAACAAATTTCACCACCATTTCATCAGTGAGTAATTTCAGTGATAAATCCGATGAAGAGAATGAATCCAATAACTGGTAAAAATAAGAACTACAAACAGCTTGAAAAATTTATATGCTCAAATTTAGTCATTACTTATTGTTTTAATGGAATTTGAGGAAAACATACCAGCTTAAAATCTTGGATATTGCATTTTTCGATAGCAATTTGACAGCGCACCATAAAAATTAGTGGTTCAAACTCATTCCCATATTCTGTAATAGCATTCTGCAACAACAAAACATTCCGAATATTGATAAACATTTCGTTAAGCACCGTACAGGAACAGAAAATAATTTAAAAAAGAATTCGTAAATTTGCAGCATAAACTAGATTCAGATTTAAGGAATATGCTATTTAGAAATGCTCACTTGAAGTAGATCTACTGCCTTGTGATCATCGTTCTTAAAATAGCAGTATATCTGAGATATTTTCATTTCTCTGTTCACGGTCAACTTGCGCCTTTTTATTTCTCTTATCATCCAACTGAACGAAAAATTATTATAACCATAAAAATCATTCTGAACATAACTTTCCATGATCTACTTTTTTGATATTATATTTTAAATATTTGATAAATTCAGTGCATTTATTCAGCCATTACTTCATGGGCTATACATTTCAATTACCGTAATAAAGCAAAAGAATATACTTCATTGTATTAATACTTCTCGTGACCGAGAGTCCCTGCAGAATAGCAGTGAAAAATTCTTCGTCTGGTTCCAGACCAAATGTTATTTCAGCTTCCTTCAACATCTGCAGGGCATCGAATGCTTGCTCGTTTTCAATTAAGGTCCTCAAACGGCTTTTCATCGCTGCATGAGTTATTGGAACATCTTCAATTATAAGCTTGTAATTTCGGGGCATTTTACATAATTTTCAAATCACCCACAATATAATTACTATTAGAAATAACTGATCCTTGTAAAATTTTAACTGAATTAAGCAGCATCAAATTCAGAAATTTACTTGCACGGATAAGTGCATTCCAAAGACGATCAGCTATTGAGGATTTTGCACTACACGTAGCATCACTCATTGGCAGGCCGCATAAGCTCAATAGAAATGGAACATGAGTGTCACCAGATCGTTGCAGAAATTCTACCAGATTGCCTAAAGAAGATACAAATAAAGAGAACACAAACGGATATTTAGTATGGCAACACTTCATGTATTCGAAGGCTGCAGAAAAAAAGATTTCCCAGTCAAACAAAAAAATAACCATTTTTTGATTCAAGAGGTATCAAAATGCTGTCAATAAAGACATGTGATTGAACCGTTAGCCGCTTTTGATAAATGTCTCGCAACCCAGCAATAATAAAATCTGGTGACTGATCCGCCTTATGCTGCAAAATTTATTAAAATGTACTGCTCATTCATTTATTAGTTATTGATCATTTATTTTTGAAAATGCTCAACCTAACAACCAAAAATTAGAAATTATGAGATTTTTGACGCACATACATCATAAAGTATTGAGCTTTTTTCGAAATCAAAATAGCATATAAACAAAATCAGCTTGTTGCATAAGACTACCTCAGATAAGGGAAGTGTGAGATGTTTGTCCTTAGTATTACCACTTTTCTTTACAATATGCTCGACTGATTCAGCGAATAGCCACCGATGGACTGTCAAAGCTATTTGCTCTTTCGGAAGTAGTGTTAAGCAGTGCTTCTGTTTTGGAACAATGACTGATCTGTGAAGTCTGAAAAATCACAATTGTATGTTATTTCTTTTTCTTATTCGAAAAACTAGTTCCCAGCAAAAAAAGAACATATATTTCAAAAAGAATGAAGAAACTACAAATATTTTCAATTGAAATTTAATTTTTAATTGAAAAACTTCAGATTTTGCATAATATAAGAAAAGGAATTAGAAACATACAGACGCCAAGCGATAGTTGGCCAAAAGAATCGTCGAAAATCCTGCATAGTATCATATTATTTATCTCTAAAAAATAATAAATAGGATTTTGGAAAAACAGAATACACTCTTATTCTATCTACCGCTTTTATATTTCTCACCTCGCTTATTTTATGGCGATATTCATTAATTCCTGTTATATCCGCCTATGGTAAAATTGTTCTCAATTAGAAGTATCAGTTCATTACGCTATGATGTTAGTTAGCTGATAATAACAGCCTAACGATCATATTACCATAGCTAACCCTTCAGTAACAATTAGAAGACTGTCATGCTCATCTCGACTTGTCTCGAAAGTCCGCCAGAAATCAATGAATCGCTTTGTGAAACCAGCTGTCCCATTCTCTTTTTAATTGAGATTTTTCAAGGTGTGCGTAACCTGCCTAGATTTAGAATATACGGGAAGGAATATTGAGCATAGAATCAAGAAATCTACTCTTTGTTTCTCAGCGATAATACTATTCTGGTTGCATTAATTCGAAATTATCTTTATTCAAACTTTTACAAAACAAAATCCACAATTAGCCAATCAAAGATCACGAGGTTTTCTCTGGTGTGAATGATTCGGTTGTGGTTAAGCCAAGTGACGATTTATTGGTTTTACACTTCGCTGTACCTTCTGTGCTAGGTGCGCTCATACTTTGTGTTGAATCAAGTCTTTGTGTCTTCCTGTCACAATTTAAATGTTTTCTAATTCTTATTAACAAAAATGGTTCAAATAACTAAAATACTAACTTAAAGATTATTTCATTATTTTCTTGGTAAAGTTTTCTTTGTAGATGATTTTGAAAGTTAATTGATTACAACTAAATTTGGATGATAGCCTAACTTTGCATACTTATTGAGGGTTGATTTTTGTCCAGTTGACAATGTGCTAAACTTCACTTCTTTTATATCTCGCGCCTCGCTTACTTCACGACGATATTCATTCACTTCCGTTATTTGCATTGCTGCCAATATAGCGCGCACCGTGATCTAAATTATTTTTAAGCAACTAAGGAAGTTCTAGGAATTAATACAAATTTTCGAATTCGATAGAATTCCATTAAGATAGGCAATTGAACAAAATATTTTTAAATGACAAATTCTTCTATCTTCCTGCCGTTCAGTTTCACGTTCCTATTTATATGCTTCTATTATTCTTTAATTACATGGAATGAATAAAGAGAACCTTAATATAATGGAATGGCGGTTCCACGTAAACTGTTTTCAGCGGTATGAAATATAAATTGCTTAAATCCACAAAGATACCCTTATCAAGACATAGCATATATATTTGCTCGATAAGTTCGACACCCAGTTCAAGTGGAGTGGCAGCTACGCGAACACCTATCATGTTCTCATAAAATGCCTCGCCTGTCAGCATTACCGTTATCGATCTGGATAAGGCTAGATAAATTTAGTCTTTGTGTTTTGGGTAGTATATTCTTTAATTAAAAAAATGACAGGTCTTGTTATGTAAAGTTAATTTGTTGTAGATGTTGTGATCCAGTTGTGCTACATATTGCACTAGTGTTCGTTTTGGAAATGGGAAGTGAGTATTTTATACGAAAACGAAGGAGGAAGGAAGTCCGTTAAGATTCAGAGAATTAATTTCAACTATCATTATTATTTACCTGGATGGATATCCTTGTTTATAAACGGTGGATTTTTTCACTCTGCCAGATGGGCTATGAATTTGGCATAAATTGAAAAGTCGACGCATTGTCTGAATATCGAACGACAATTCCTGAGCAATATTTTGGATAAAATAAACTGAGTTTGTTGAGCCTGAATCATTGCATTGTTTCTGAATTTTCTAAAACTTTCTGGAATGATTCTCAAATTGTTTGTAAATCTATGATACTTTGAAACCAGGATAATTTTTTAGTGTTTCTTGAATACGATAAATTTCTTGTAGCGGTGATAGTGGATTCGGTTCCGATCGTAGCCAATCGAAAGTTGCACGGTCCCGATGTAATCCAATCCGTCGATTTGTCCATTGAAATAATTCATCATGCAAATAATTTTGTTTACTATGATGTTATATGTTCTGAATAGCATTGTTTGGATCAAAACACTTGAGAAACTGTAAGTCCTATAAGTTTCAATTTATCATAAATGTGCATTCAGCGGTATTTGTAAAGAACTCACTTTCATTTCTCCAAATATTTCTTCAATGATATCGTCGAGTGTTATCAGGCCAACAAGACTGTAACTTTTACTATCATATTTCACCACCATTGCTAGATGTGATATATAACCTAAAAAGATATTTAGGAACGGAAAATTAAAAGAGGGGAAACACAGTGAAATAGATTGACAATGTTTCTAGGTCTATCTGTTCGTAGTAAAATGGACTATTTTAACATCCAATGAATTGAAAGAGTTCACGATACAATTAAACCAAGCTTTGGCAAATTCTTTGAGAATATGAGGAGGCACGCTTATTAAAAAAACAAGCCTTTTTTGTGATCATAAAAGCACGGATCCTAATAAATAACCTTTTGGTTCGAATGCAAAATCCTGCCCTTCCATTTCGTTTAGTAAAGGTTTTACTTGCATTTCCTCGCACACAAAACGGACCTAATCTTTTGAATTATAACTTTTTTGAAAATAAATTTGAAGTTAGTTAAATTAGTCATCATTAGATGCATCCAATAAGTAGTTCCAACTGATTTAATAGATAATGACTTTTCTGTAATTATCGAAAGAACTTTAGGAACATATATAAGTATTTAGGAAAGCATTTTCTCATTTGCCTATCATTAATAAGTGATAAGTTACTTGAAAAATTGTAATTTTCTCTATTGAATAAAATTATCATATGGGACTTTTTCATTTGTGGTTTTCCAATAAAGGTGTGAGCTAACTAACCTGTTTTAAATAATTTAATTTCTTTAGTATATCAATGACTGCAATGCTTTTGTTGAAGTCAGTTGTGATGAGATCTTTGACATTTAGTACTGCAATGACCTTACTTCTTTTTGAACCTTCATAAACTGGTATACGACTGTAGCCTTTTTCTACGATCGAAAGAATCAGCTGGAAAATTAATAAGTTTTTATTTGATTTTTTGAAAATTATTGACTGGATCTCAGCATGTGACACTAATCTTCCTTCTTACATGGAATCACGAAATGGTATTTACAATGTTCCATTCTAATCTGTTTTTTTATGTTTTAAATAAAGTGTTGTGTCATCAACAGGTCATATGAAAATTTAAATTCTAAACTCCACTGGAGTATTGGTTGACGGAATTTTAAGTAATTAAGTAGTATTCCTTTTCTACATGATATAGAAGTTTGATTTTAGATTTCGTAGTGGTTTTTTTTTGGATTTGTTTATAAACTAAACTATATTAATCTGGGGAAATGTTTTAGTTTACGCAGATGAAACAGAGAATAAATGATTAGATGCTTAGGACCAAAAATTTTCTTCATCTCTTAGCGTTTTTTTAGTAACAGTGTCGCTTATAGGAAAACGCACTTTGTTAAATATTTAACCAACTCTGATATTTCTGTAAAAAAATGACTTTATTATCGAGGGCATCTGTTGTTGATAAGAGAAATGCTTCATCAATTCGCGTCATTACATTACCAACTCGAATTCTTGGCAGATTGATCGCATTCTTTAGAATTTCTACAACATTTCTATAACATTTATTTGACAAGAAATAATTAATTAGATGAATTACTTTGATTGAAAAAAATAACTTGGAATGGATATACCGGAAAAAACTGCAGAACTTGTCCTTGCTGCTTCCAGAATTAAAAATTCTATTTTACTTCTATCGTACACTTCGCATCCTATAAATTAGTGAGATTTTTTCTTCGAATTGTAGGAAATACAGAGTTCAGTTTTTAGGAATTATATGACATTCAAACTTCAGTGATTTTGGATCGTTTCAAATCACTGAAATTTGAATGTCATATAATTTCTCGCAATTAATAGTATATTTAGGACTTAATGATTTTATGATGTAAGTTCTAACATGAAATATCAAATCAAGTCAGCGAGAAAACCTTTAGATCCAAGGGCAATATCTAAAATCTTCGAAATTGGCCAAGCAACAGGTGATAAAACAATCATTGCAAGCCAGGTGATATAACGTGTCTTGCTGGCAACTTGCAAGCCTCTTCGATTACATATTGCCTAAAATTGTAGTGAAGTTATCGATGCTTTCCTAATTTTTTTTATATAATTATAAATCGTCAGGATAATCCGGTACTTTGGCATAAATACGCATTTTATTGTATTAGTATGCTAATAAAGCTATGAAATGCTAATCTATCAGTATTTTAGGATATTCATTCTCTCTTACCAGCGGGAATATTTCACCAAAAATAATAATAATAATACATGTCACAAGTGTTAATGGAAGAAATGGTAATCTACCATCACTTACCTGAAATTTATAATATATAATTTTTGGATGAAAAATGAATGAAATCTTTTGTATGTGTCATTTGAGCTCAAAAATAGCTCAATTTAATTTAAATGAAAATTCTGCTATTTTGAGGGTAACTCTAACATAAATTATGAAATTTTTTTTAGAAATTTAAGATAATTTTTTTAAATAAGAAGCGCATATTAATAATTGTAATATAGTATGGATGAGAATTATTATTATATTCAATTTACGTATTGAAGGAAATTTTCGAATAGCAATGATAATCCACAATTAATGATTGCATTACTTGTTGCAAACGTACAAATGAGCCAGTTGAGATGTTTGCGTACTGGTATGATATTTTTCGCCAAGTGACTTTTCTAAAATTTCAATTCAAAATTTTGAAAGATTGATCGCTTCTTTTGTTTTGATGGTTTAATTATTCTGTTTCATAAAATGGTCTAGAGTAGAATAATAGATTTTAGAGTTTTCTATGATATATTTCAATTTCAGAAAACATACATATGGATCGCCCATACGAATAATAATGTTTAATTCGCTAATTGCAACCGATGTGAACGATAAATTAAGGCCCGAAAAAAGCGCACTCATTGTTAACATAAATACGATAATAAGAGTCATTGTTTGCAATGAGAAAGGCATCCAATAAGGATTCTGTGATGCTAACATTTCCACACGTATCTGAAGATGAGATAAGTTGATAACTTTATCTGAAACACATACGATTTCTTTGAGTTCTCTCTTCTTAAACTTGATATGTGCTGTTAGTAACCAAACATTAGTAGCTTTTTTCATAATAAAGAAAAAGTCGTACCAGTTAATGTTTTTACTTTTTTTCGAAATTATTCAAAGAAAGATTTAATAGTTATTTTGAAATCATAAAGAACTAAGGTTAAAATAAATCAAATATTGACCAATTATTAAAATAAACCAAGTATAGTGAATTTTTCCAACAGGATAAACAGGTGTGAAAAATTTTTAGAAAAGCGAAATTGTTTTTCTTTTAATAAATGAATGGTTCCACTCTTGCCTTTAATAACCCTTCGGAATATCATTCGCAAGTTTTTTAGAACAGTCAACAATACATATTATTTCATTTAGATTTTGTTTACTTAGAAGCACGATTAACATTCAGACATAACATACAAATTGAAAAATTCCGATTTGACTTACATTAGTTTAAAATTTCTATTTCATTTGAAACATTGAAGATTTAATTAAACAGAGATATACGAACATTGGCTGCAATCGCTTCGTTGGAGAATGATGGTTTAACACATAATAAATATAAGTGGTCATCTTCAGGAATGCCATCTTTCAGTTCTACTACCAATGCGTTTTCGTAAGAAAATTTATCAACTACATTCATGTAGTAAACAGCTTTTTTTAAGCGAAACGAATCCTGAATTATTGAATTTGCAATTAGTATTTGCATAATTAGAAGAAATATTATCATTCAACTAATTCAAAAGTAAAAATCAGTAAGGATTATTTGCAACTTTCTATTGTTGAATTTTATGATTTAAATTTCTATTCAAGCTGAACTTTAATACCACACAACGGTCCGCATTGGTTAACCAAATCGAATCGTATTTGCTGGGCCATAAATTTGCTCCAAATAATGTCATAATGAATTCTGAATTTGATTTTACTGTTTCTACGTCATATACCGAACCACGCCTTATTCCCACCACTTTTCCCATCACTGGTAATTTCCTGTTTTAGTTAATGTTTTAATTAACTGAATAATTTGAATTCATGACAAATACTTAACTTAAATTAATACAAATTCATTTTTCTCTGTCACATTGCCTTTATCAATCGGCTAATCTATTCCTACGAAAGCGAAAAAAAATTTCAATTATACAGCCTAAACGCGCTGTTAACACTGTTAACATCATTAATTTTAATTACAATTTAAAACCATAAATTAATTTTAATTAACACTGTTAATCAAAACTAATTAGTAACTAATATCGTTGATGCTCAATTAGCAATAAATTACATATTAAATAAATAGGAAATAAACATCCTTAAATAAAAATCATACAGAAATGTGAATATGAGTGAACTGAATAGAAAATATAATTCCAGTGCAACCATTCGCAAACAGTAATCATTTGAACAGTAATTTGTATTTGAAATGAAATCCATTTATTATGCCATCTTGTTAAGATTATTCCTTCTTTGTTTGAAAAGTGCAACAGGTTGAAATTGAAGGGAAAATAGTAAATTTTAGTTTGAGTCTATCATAATGGTTACTAACAGATTTGTGCAATATTCGTAATTAGCAGTAAGTATCCAATTGCTCAAATTTTTCAGTTAAACTAAATGTTACCATTTGCTTTATTAATATTATGAATGTCAGCCTCGTCATTTGTACTTCTATCAGAGACTATTATCTAAATTTTCAATTGTCAGAGAAATGAGACCATAACCATTATAATTAATCAAGATCCTAGTCATTACAGTTACAGTTAACAGATTTTGGTCAATAAGAATTAAGTTTTCCTACAGCATAGAAATTCCGCCTGTGTTGATCTTTGAACTCTCTCTTTCCTTGCAATCCAAGGCTAGATGCATTGTTGATATTATTGAAAATTATTTTTGCTCCAATATTACAAAAACAACAACAACATTTCTGTTTTTGTCTAATAATTGGAAAGATCATTAATTATCTATTTTCAACCATATAAGTAAGCTGAATAAAATCCAGAGAATTAATTCAATTTGATCTAATCTTTTATATCAATTTTAAAATAAATATTCTCTTACTGCGCCACTGATAATAATATTTATTGTATTACTGCCAATAATTCATACTGCATCAATAATAATAATTAAAGTTAAACTATTTTTCAAACTGCAATGCTTTTTATTTCTTGCAAAAACTTACATTCCACATTATCGTTACAGATAACTTTCCAAATTTTTCATATGAAGTGATTATTGTTAATGTAAGCATTTTGCTAATCATTTAACTTCATTCTAAATTTTCACTTAATAGTCTATATTAATTCAGGCTTTCCAACCTTTGAACTTCATAGAATATGAAATCCGAAAGGTTTGCAAATTCAGATAAACTCAAGAGAGATGAAAAAAATCTGTTTGATTTGCTTTTTTATCCGAATGATTATTTTCCATTAAAATTGTTTAGTGTTATTTTTTTTGCTTTAATTATAACTATAAATTTTCTAAAAAGTTCAAAGATTAGAAAGCCTTATAGCGAAGCGTGTCGGTGATGGAAAGAAATGAATGATTAACTTTTCTACTCTTATCAATTTTGTCATTGAATTAATGCCGAAAGACAACCCCCTACTACCTTGATTTTTGACGCATTCCATTAGTCCTCGTTGATGGAAAACATTTTAAAATGATCACGGGTTTATCGCTTATAAATATAAGTAGACATCAAATCTATTTTTACTCTTTTTCTTTGTTTACATTTAGTTGTATTGCAATGATTAGATTTCAGAAATAAAAAGGTTTTGTGTTGCTATTACAAATTCAGCCTGTACATTTCATTGAGATAAAGCGTACTAAGCAAAATATATATTTGAAACTTCAAGTAAGCGCTGTTATATAAGGCTCACATTATGGTGCTATTTAGAATTTGCATATCATCGGTCCAGGTTAACCGTGATGATTAGAATATATCGCAAAAGTAAATGTCTTATTTTACTTGTGATAATGTAAATTTTGAATGGTAGCATTAATACAATAGAAGTGAGTGAAGCATATGATGTTCAGCGTCATAAATATTATAGACAAAGCTATGCAAAAAGTGGCAGTTGAATTTGGCAAATTAGCGAAATTAGTTGGTTGCTGGAGTGCGACGTATCGGGGATGTGCCACAAAAGTAAGATACCTCTTCCTTCTTTCAATATCTTCTAATCTAAGTGTTTTTTTTTTCGTTATGAAAAAAATGAACTTCTAAAACACAAAGTTTTAGATATTTGAAAGTTCTAATTTCGAACTTTTTAAGTTTTACTTTCGAAAGTTCACAAATTTAGATATCATGTAAAAGCTACTTTTTAAAAATTTCAGTCTTCTGGTATTTCTATCTTCTAATATTTCTAAATGCCTTGCTTTTTTAGCAAAGAAGTCAGCTAATGGATCCATATTCAAAATTTAAGGATCTTGCTTTGATAACAGGAACAAAGAAGATATTGATAACTGGTTCATTAGGACAGCTCGGATATGGATTAGCAACTACCTTACGGTCCTTTTTTTTACGAAAATTTTGTTTTTTCGGAAATTTCTTGTAATTATATCAAAAAGAAATGTATTGCATAAAAAAAAAGAGTAATTGATCTATTTTCTTTAAAAAATATTGCCTATTTAGAATATTTTCTAAGAGAATTTGATAAATTTTTACGAATTTGATTCTGTTTGTCAATCACTCAAAACGCTTTTATTCAAATATTATTTCCCAATGAATTATTATTTCTAATATTAACTGAATTTCCACAATTTATCAGACAAATCATTGCAGTAATTAAGACTTCTACAATTAATTCTGTTTTATTCCATTTTAATCGGTAATATATCATAAAAAGTAAGACGAAAAGTCGTAATTTAATGATTGCTATAAAATAATTGGTGAAAAAAGTTTTCTTTTCAGTAAAATATATGGTAACGATATGGTAATTATGACAGATATTGTGAAACCACGGGAGGATGAGAAATGTGGTAAAATTTTATCTATCTGAATCTGCAAGTATTGTTACTGAAATGCTGAATGTATTGACGTCGAAATATATCACTTTAAATAGGAATCTGCAAGTATTCTGCATTTCCGCTTTTTACAATTAATTTTTGCTTATCCAAAATGTGCCTAATTTGAAATGGACCAAAATCGAATAATACATCTTGACGTATGACTTTTTCCTGTTTTTTGAAAAACGAATAAAATTACCTTATTCATCGATTAGTCTTAGAAATTGGATTGAAGTTAGAAATGATGAATTGAAAGATGTAATTGATATAGAATTTCACCTCAGTAGTATTAAGGACTCAGAAAATCATGTTAATGATACTGGAATTTTTTATCGCATAACCTGAGATTGCTTTATATCATTGATATAACAAATAAACACATGAAGGATGCATTTACTTTTGTTTGGCGTTTGCATGGTTGTGAATGTAATTAGATCATTTGCTTTAATTACGCTCATAACCATGCAAAGACCAAACATTTCGATTTATTTCATTGTAATTTTTTCATTTACAAAAATTTAATTAATTTAGAGCCATTATATTATCTGGATATCCTCAATGAATCGGCTATCAATCAAATAGTTGTTAATCACAACATCGATACGATCATCCATTTTTCAGCATTGCTAAGTGCTGTTGGCGAAACAAATGTGCCTTTGGCGCTTAAAGTAAATGCCGAAGGAATGCAAAATATTTTAGAAGTTGCCAAGTTTCTTTTTGACAGTGTTTTGAAAGGACTAAAGAAAGCATTCCATTGGTTATGTATTGAAATTGTTGTTAGAGAAACAAAATAACGGTTGCATAGAACCTAAATTTATTTCGTACTGAGTCGATCTCTTAAATTAGTGATGATAATAGTAAAAAATGAAAAATATTTTAGATTGCAGACTTCTATTAAGTGATATTCTCGCTTATTTACTAAATTTCGGATTCAAGAAATATTTTATCGTTAAATTTAGAAAGCACAAAACACAAATTTTTATTCCAAGCAGTATTGGCGCATTCGGTCCAACAACACCTCTTGATCATACTCCTGATCTCTGTATCCAGAGACCACGTACAATATATGGTGTCACTAAAGTTAGTCGTCCAGAAAATTTTTCCATTTCTGCTAAATCCTAACTAATTGACAATGAATTTCATAGATTGTATTATAAAAAACAGTTTTTATTAAGGTGTATGCGGAACTTCTTGGTGAATATTACAGTGAGCGTTTTGGTGTTGATTTCCGTTCATTACGTTTTCCAGGTATCATAAGTGCTACAAAGCCGGGTGGTGGTACAACTGGTAGGTTTCTTAATCAAAATAATTTGAAGTGTACTCGCATTTTATTTAACCAAATAATTTTTATAGTTTATAATAAGCAATATATTTATATCAGACATTTTTTCAAATTATTTTTTCCGCCTAAATTAACATTTCTTTCCTAAATTAATTTAGATTACGCCGTACAGATATTCTATGATGCACTGACTTGTGGGAAGCATATATGTTATTTGCGGTCGGATTCACGATTACCAATGATGTACTACACTGATTGTATTACTTCTATCATTTTAGTGAGCTTAATTTTTTCTTGATTTTAAATTTCTTCTAACAGAAATATTTCATACAATATGTTAGCAGATAAATTTAGAAATAAGTTGATATGTTTTCATGATCTATTTTATTCCGTTTAATTGCTATGAATTACTCTTTTAAATATTTAAGTATATTCATGTTAATCATGTCTTTCTTTTAATCAGATTTTACTTACATCTAAATTATACTGTATTTCCAAAAAGAAAATGAAATATTAGAAAATTTCAGTATCTGTCAACTCCATCTGAAAAATTGACGCATCGAACGTATAATGTTACTGGCTATTCATTTACACCGGAAGAAATTACCGCAGCAATCCGTAAAGTGATGCCGAATTTCAAAATTGAATATGAACTTTGTCCCACCAGACAAAAGATCGGTAAATCATTGATTCGCACAGATATTTTACAATTTGTTTTAGCAGAATTAACTCATTAGGGTAAATTTTGTAAAAGAAGCATTCAGATACTCAATGAAAAAATAATTATTTTTTAAATTCAATGCGCATTTAATCAAAAGGATAAAAAAAGCTATTTTGCTATACATTTTTAAAAGGAATATTTCACTTCTTATTTTATTGAAAAAAATGGCGTATGAAAATTGCAGCTGATTCTTGGCCTAAAACTTTGGATGATACAAATGCAAGAAAGGATTGGAATTGGCAGCCGATGTATGATTTGGAATCGACCGTTAATATAATGTTTGATTTAGTGAAATGTCAGTTAATTGCGGAAGGAAAAAGCACCATTATGTAAAAAATACGATGAATTTCAATTTGCATCATATTAGAAATTTTTTCTCGACTATATTGATGCATTTTTGATCCTTAACCTCAATTCGATCTTCAGTTTAAATAATTATCATAATTAATTACATCCATTCACATCTGCTGTATTTTCTCCAATAAAAAGTAATTCTGTGAGAAAATTAATTCTAATTTCATCGGCCAAATAACTGGTATTTTATTTGCATGTCTCAAAATTATTTTAGTTAAATAACTAATGAAGTTTTCTTCTTATAATACATCATTGATAAACTTGCATAAATAATTCAGTGCAACATATTTCTAAGAAAAAGGAATTGAAAATTAGAGAAAAACTTTTAGCATCACCTGCAATCCTTCAATGGAAATAATTTCGAAAACTTACGAAAATAACCGTGATACAAGTCATTTGACCTTGCTGCATCTTAACGTCGCAAATCCAGAAATTTCGTTTCTACACAACTCTTTTGGTCGAAGTATGGTAGAAGTAACCGAATTCTGTGGATGGCATTATTGCAAGATTAAACGACATACCAAGAAATAGTTTTCTCGGAAATTGAAAGATTTCTTAACTCAATTTTCGGGCTGGTTTCTTGTTTCATTTTCACTACAATTTTATCGTTTTATATGAGCTGCATTCATCTCTTATTTCTGAATAAGATTTCCTCAAGCTTTCAGCGAGAGTACGATCTTATACACGTAAGGGATAAAATTTACTATATATTCACCGGTAATATATCAATTACTTTTATGGGAGAAAATTTCAAGGAAGAATATCTCGCTATCCACGCGCTACCACAAATAATACTTAACTGTTTTTCATGCATATTTAATATATCCACACACAATTTTTTTGTTTATTGTTCCTATGGGATTAAAAAGAACAAAATCGAAATCAAAATCCAAATTCGGAAGAATCACTTATTGCCCTTGATAACTTTTTTTTAAATATCCTTTAATATAAATTTAAATGTGAAAAACTTGTCCAACAGTGTTTTTGAAACAAAATTTTTATTTACAAAATGGTAAAAACATCAACAAAACGATTTGGAAATGAATGAATAACAACATCTCTTGGTGCACGGTCGATCAGGAACACATTCGCAGCAAGTCCTTACAGGCTGAAAAAACTGCGTATATTATTTCAATTCTCAATGGAATGACATTTACATCCATTATTTGTTGGTCAATGAATTACTAGCGTTAGTTTTTTGAAACATAGAAAAATTTGAGGATTCGACAAATACGAAATGAAAATAATTGAATATATATTATATAGTTCAAATCTCCGGTTAAAATCATTTCATGCAATAATGCGAGGACCAATCAAAAGCTTTAGCAGGCTAAGATATAAGGTAGTAAGAGAGTGAGATTCCCTGAATCAGAATAGCTGTCCGCTTACTTCACGAAAATTTCTTGAATTTTGGACACGAATAATGATGTACAAACTAAAATATCTATGTTGTAGTAAAATTAAACTTGAAAGCTTTGATAATGACTGCAAAAGAACATACTATCAAATTGAAGTTTCTCTTCAATGTTTCTACTTTTGATTGTTGCTTCATGATTCTGTACGAAGTATACTTCACCATTCTCCTTCGGTATCCATCCATAAAATCGGGCATATTCGTTTACTTGCTTATCTGAAATATCCTTATCATTTTCTTCCAGATTATCTTTACAGTCAAAAAATTGCTCATAACACAGGAAAAATTAATAACCACGGAAAACACATGAAAAGCTTTGTCGAGAAAACAACAAAAAAAACCAATAAGTCTTTTGACTTCAAAACGTGAAAGTCATATAATAAGCCACACTCAGGTCCAATAAACATATATTATCATAAATGTTATAGTCAAATAGTTATCATGCGAATTTACTTAAAAAGATAAAAGTCATTAAGCTCATTTTAAAACTATCCGTTATATAAAATCAAAATGAGAACTAATGTGGAAATATTTTTCCGATATTTTCGGCAAAAATAATAACTGGTGAAAATATCAGGAATATGAAGCTTACCGGAAACACCACCTAATAAGCGAATGAGGAGAGATTTTTCAATGTTCTGGAAAGTAACATTGATTACTTGGCATGCATCTGCAAATAGTACATTTAAAACTGACGAAAATTGTTAGAAATATTAAAATTATCAAATACATTAAACCTTCCAAAGAGTTTGCAAAAACAATTCCTTTAAAAAGGTTATCTGAAAAAAGCAAATTAAAAGACGCACAATTTCTCACACTTTCTTCAAATCCTGGTACTGTTCTAATGATTTTTGGAATTTCCCCAGGCTGTCTAAATGGCTCATTGACGTCATCTAGTGGCCGATAATCCCCTCGCATTAAACGCCAAAATACAGCGAAATTGCAAGATTCCAACAAAGCTCCAATGTCAAATACTCTTTTAAGCTCCTAAAATCAAGCGAAGAATAAGAAACATATAAGCAGAGAACAAATTCTTTCAAAGTTGAAATTTCCGCTCCAGAATAAAAAATATTAATTACATAGACAGCTCACCGGTGAAACAACTCGGCTGGAATCAATTAGATATTTTGCGAGAGCATAATCACTTTTTGGAGCCATCATCATCGTTTTCAATAATATTAGCTTCACAACACTTTCATTATACCTGATAGAAATTTTATTTCTTTTTTATTTTTTGCAATTCTTCAGTAAATAGTAACCGTTTTCGAGTCTCTACTATGTTCACGTCATGATCATTTGGTCTTGAAATCCTTATCACATGAGATCGTCAAATACAACCACCCTACTTTCTTTTGTTACAGGCTGTCTTTCTGATTTCGATATTTTATTTCTATCGTTAATTACACAATTTTTTAAAAAGTTGAATAGTTTTTACCAGAAACAGGATCAAAGCGATGAAAAAAATCTCTTATAGATTAGAAATGAAAATTTTTAACAGAAAAAAATCTGAAGCTCTTTGCAACAGATATTTTGAAATTCAAATTTTTTTTGAAAATAAATAAAACGTAACCTACAAAAACCTTCCGTACAGCAATGTTTGAAAGCCCAAAACAATAAAAAAAAAAACAAACTTGTCAGGATTAAGCTGATAGAGCTTTAGCGTGGTGACCAATATATCTTTGTCGTACTGATTTTCTTGCACCATTGCTTCGATGCAACTCTCAAGTGTGTCAACATTATTTGGATTATATCGATTCACTCCAGTTATCGCTTGATCTAATTTACCTTTTAGTTCCGCAAAAACTGACATTGTTCGTGCTATAAAAATTAAAACACTGCGTTTACACAAATAAGCTTTGATCAGATAACAGAAATCACATCCCTATTTCCACATCAATACTTCAGTCTCATGCGTATCTATCGACTTAACGAACATAAACTATTGGTCTGAACACAGTTTTCTTAAATCTAGTTACAATCCAACGATCGAAGCATTTTATAACTCAGTTAAAATATCTCGTTCAGAAACAAAATTATCAGTTGAGGTAATAGGTAATAAACAAACATTTTCAGATTAAAGGAGTAAGTATAAAAATAACTGCGAAGATTATTGTATGTATGAATTGCAAAGTCTAGGTTCTACCGAAGCCGGAGGTGGAGAACAACGACACTCAAAAATACGAGCTCGAAATTTACAGCGAAAAAGGGCATAATAAAACCTCAATAATTCTTAACTTTGTAAACCCAACTATGAGACTTGTTTCTATTAGTTAGCAAAAACCAATAGTATTAACTGAAACTAATAAATTAAAACGATAAAAAATCCAAGAGTGTTTCTGAATCAACGCTTAATCTCGACAGAAAATAATAAATAAATTGTTTACCAAAACAATGATTACCTTAAAAATGATACAGAATGCCTCCACACACAAATCTAAGGGAACGTATCGTATTAGAAAACGAAACACAGAACTATTTAGTAATTTTAATTTTTTAAAACCAAAATGTATCGCCTTTCGTTTAGAAAAGGAATGCGCAAATACAAATGAAAGTGAAGAAAATTGAGATCAACAAACATTTTATAACATGAATGAGCTAATTAATAAATTAATCACTCAACCCAGGAGACAAACTGATAACAAATTAGGCACATGGAATAGACAGTGCAATTACATAAAACACAATTGTTATGTAAACATTCTAAACGATATAAGAGGACTTTGAGAAATGAAAGAATTGAAAAAAATGTAAACAACGCAAGAAGTGATTTAATGCATATTATTAAACAAAATTAGACTTGGAGAAAAGGAAAGTGGAAGCAAGTTATAAATCTTCATTTAACTTATTACACAAAGCAAAAGATACATATCCTAATTATCCTGATCCAAATTCTAAGAATGTAAATGGAAATGAAAATTTCAAGAGTTTAGATATTCCTAGAGTTCACAAGGATTTCATTCCAAACATCTATCGCATATAACTAATATGCAAATTGAACCTTTTTTTAAGACTGCAAATTAGTAATGCAATCTGTATCGTATTTCAACAGATCTTGTAAAAAAAAATCCTAAAATAAAGGACTTCTTGTAAAATCCTAAATAAAGGCAGAGCTTGGAAACCAAGACATCTTTCCAGAATGTTTAATTCGCTTTAATCTTGTTTCTGGTAATTCAAAGTAAAATCCTTCCATAATCCTGCATGTTTGGTGGAAGCAGTGCACGAAAAAGATTGTCGAACATTTTTAGAGCATTCGGAAGAGTATTTGCAATGTTCCGTGATAGCCACGTGTGCTGAAAACGACTGCGAATTTCAAGAAGTCTGAAAAAGTGAAAAGCATTGGTAAACCGAACTGCAAAAAATTTTTTTTTGAAATTTTTTTAGGAAAACTCCAAGTAAAAAGTTAAGCTTTGATTGGTCTTGAAGAAAAGCAAACATTTATTAAGATAGGTACTTCTTCAGTAGAGAATTTAAATCAAAGGAAAATGTAAACAAAGTGAACCTATTAGCAAGATCAGTGCGCACAGCTGATGGTAAATTGGACACACCAATGTTAACCATTTGATAACCGACAAGCGTTGTTTCTTGCAGTACTCTATCACTAGATGAAAATGAGGCTTTTTGATCATTTGGTGATAACGATGGGTTTATGCCATATGTGCAAAGAGACTGACCCAATCTAAAGATAAATAAAGTTTTAAAAACCTTAAAACGACTTGTTTGAATTTAACTTCTCAAAAACATCAAAAAAAACAACAAACGAACTTGCAAGCAAGAACCATAAGTTCGGTGATAATTTGTATCTCGGCCAGTACAAGTGCCAATTCATAATTATAAGGAAGACGTTTTTTTGCTTGATCCAATGCTTTCAAACTACGTTTTAATTCTATTCGTGCCTTCTGCAAAATCTGTTGTTCACCAACAGAATTTTTCTTCCATAATTATTGAACAAATACGGCAGTGTTAAAGTGCTCTATTTCAGCTGTTTATTAATCTAAACAATATGTACCTTGAAAATGACTGGAGTTAGTCGTTCTAAGACCATGTTATCTGGATTTAGTATCATTTCTACAAATACCGAAATTGGCTTTTTCCTGTTTGATGATGATGATGATGAGTATTCTTGCATTTCCCCAGCTGTAAGTTTTTGATTTGTGCTGATTAGCCAATAGAACAGATATCTCTCTTGTCCAAAATGAAATTTTTCCCCTAGTCAGATCATTCCAAGCCAAAATAAGTATAAAATTAGTTTGGAAAATCTTAATTTTTTTTACCGATTTAGACGAAGAAAGTTGTACGACAAGATAAAATTCTGAACAGTAAAAACTTTTCTCCTGCTTTAAAATAACTTTATGGGAAAATGTGAATATACCGCTTTCTGCAGTTTTTAATCCATAACTGAATCGTGTTATTTCATGTTCAACTCTTCCAATGGTAGACATCTGCTTAAACAAGGCCTCCATATTACTGCAAGAATTTTCAATGTAATAAAATAATTTTTAATATGGAGTATGTTTCTGATTAAATAATTAAGGTGTTCAATAAATTTTGAAAAAAGCATGGTTAGAATTTGAAGTAATACGTAATAAATTGAAAATTCAAAATGCCAGAATTTCATTTTCTCCGGAATCTTTTGCGCTTTAAAATAATAATTTTATGTCTTCGTTAGATTGCACCAAGTGCTTAAGATCTAGCTAAAAATTATATTTTTAAAAAACCTGCTGCAAAACTCACCCATCCAAGAGAAAATGCTCCGCCGCTATTCGAGGCAATAAGAAACAAAAACGCTTTATATCAACGGATTTATTCCAACAAACGCCCAGTGAAGCTAACTCAGACATATAATACAATGACGGAGGCATTACTTCGCAGCCGGTTGACAGATCACAGACCATTGCACCTAATCGGAAAACATGGTATACAATATTTTTCTTTAATAAAAAAATATAAATAAATATGGAAAGTTTAAAAATTAACCTAAAATTGGAAACTTGCTACCTAATCTGGTAGCAAGCAAGGCTTTTTTAGCTACAGATTCAGGAGCAGCACATAGAAAACCAGGATCGCTTGTCGAAAATCGTAACACAACATTCAGACGTGATGAAAGCAAATTTTCAGCTTCAAACGGATATTTCCCTTCTATACAAATTGTGACGAATGGCGGTAAGACATTGATCTAAAAGTATTTCGTAGAAGCTAAAGAAGCAATATCTAGATCTGGAACTTCAGATTTTGACTTCCTCTTGCAGATATGGAAACTCACCAAAGAGGCATTATTTTTATTTATATCCACTGAAACATATATTCTCGGTATTCTTCTCTGCACACTGTTCAGAATTGTTCGATTTGATATAATCATAATTGCCAAATTTGAACCGAAATGTACAGCTTTCGTGAGTGGGAAATCATCCAGAAACGAGTCGATGGTTCGACACAACAAATCTGATTCAGTATAACTGGACTGGACGTCAAGAGATGGTACAAACTAGAAAATTCGAAACACGATTGCAAATCTTAAACTTTGTTTTATTGGTAATGGAAACGGTTCTAATAACACAAAACCTAATAAAGTCTTTTCAACAAGTGCTATCCCAGTGAACAACAAATATTTCTGACTGGGAAAATATCTCAGTGCCTTTTAATGTATTATAATATGAAGCACTTTTGGTTATAATCCATTCAAAGAGCAATTATCAGGGACTTTAGATTCCACACTTTTTATATGTTATCCAAAATATGTGCAAAAATGTCACTTCACAAATGCAGACTTTTAGCCTGAAAATGAAGTTCACTCAGCAGTTTGTGAGATACTCATGGACCTCACATGCAGTACAACGAGATGAAAAATAACCTTAACAAAAAGTTCGTCACAAACTTGTGTTATTTGAAACAAATCTCTAGTCGTGTAAGGTAACTGATAACGATCAGTGGTTCGCACTTCGAAATTCACGAATAAGTGACTCGCTTTACAATAAGCAATACGCCTGGCAAGTTGCAAAAGCTAGAATAAAAACAAAAAAAATTAAGTCACATTCTCTGGTTATGTTTCGATAATGAAATTCTTATAAAGTAAAGTCATACAGTTTCTGTATTCAGTATTTTGCAGCCACTGAAATCCTGATAAACAGCTCGGAAGCTTGAGTCTGGAGAATCACGAATTGTTAAGCACGGTATTGCACCTGTAAAAAGCAAAAGAGTATCATCATCCCGATACAAAGAAATATAAAACGAATGAATAAAAACCTACCGATCTTCCTTGGTTGTTCGCTATTCACAGTGCCAGTGATCTTTATTGTAGATTCAGGAAGTGTTTCATGCAGTGTTTCTAATGACGTTTCGGTATTCCAATTAACTATCTAAAAAATACGGTTTGATTTCCAGAACTACACATATAACGCTATATATTCTCATTAATAAGTTCTTTAAAAAAAAAATTGAGGCTTACAACAGCAATACATAGTTCAAAAATCATTACCATACAATAACCTATGACAAGACTTTAATATATTTTATTTCTAAGAAACCTTTGTAAAATGAAGTTCGAGAATCTTGGAAAAGAACCAGAAACTAGATAAATTAGCACCTCAGAACATTCTTTAAAGATTCTCAATATTTGAACAAGAGTAGAAAAACCATGCCGAACACCAGTATGGTCTTCTCCATATAGTTCTATACTATCTTCATTGATTGTCAATGTATATGCCCCAGAGCAATAGCCATTTTCAAAAATCCCACATGTAATTCGGCCATTTAGAGCAGGTTGATCTCGAACCTAAATATTTCAAATAGTTCCATATTCGTTCAAAAGATGGTTAAGATACAATGTTTTCAACTCAATGACCAAATGATCGGAATACATTTTCATTTACTTCTGCGAGTCATCTATCACTATTCCATCGATTAGTAATAGATGACTCCCAGAAAGAATTGAAAATACTACTGATGCTTTGCGATATTTTATTGAACAAAACACAATTAAATGCATATAGAGGTCAAAACTTCTTAAAAAATTTTTAAAAATAATCGAAAATGGCTTACTGCGTAACCTCTGTAATCCAATTCTAGGTGGACACTTGAAAGGATGGGTGCTGACATCTGGATAATTTGCATTAATCGTCGCGGTTCTGCCGAACTAGCTTTATCAAAATAAATTTTTAAACGGCCATCTTTTGGATATGGGTAAGTGAGCTTCCTGAACAACGAACTTTCGTTTACATCATAATATCACAATAAACCAGTTAAAATTACAGAAGAAGCAAAAAGTACATTCAACTAACAATTGATTTACATACCTTTCATCTAAATCTATATATTTTGGCTGAGGCCATAATAAATCGGTCCAATTTTCTATCCTACCAACACTAGAACTTGACGGTTTTTCTACAAACATCATTGTAGTATCGGTTGATATTAATGAAGAACGATCGATGTCTGAATCCATTGACGTTGTACGACGAATTGTGCGGTTCAATCTATAAAAGGATTACGGATAAAGCACGGTTCCTATCACTGTTAAAGTACAGTTGTGATTTAATTTACAGCTCTAATTAAATGCTGATATGTTAAATTAGTTCAACTATAGGATACAAAACATTGAATAATTTTGAAAAATTTAAATTGCAGCACAAAAATATTACGTATTCAAACTCAAGCTAGGCAACATAGCTCCCCCCATTTTTGTAGCTAATTCGTAACAGTTCTCTCCACTTCTGTTCTTTATATTTGGATCTGCTCCGTAGCTTAGCAAACATTTCACAATAGCATCATTTCCTCGACGTACTGCGTCATGTAACGCTGTTTCGTTCTTTGTATTTAACGCATTGACATTTGCTCCACTTTGACACAGTATCCTATACGAATGTCATAATTAAGAAATCATTCATGCTTTAACTTGTTACTACATACTTTGGAAATTATTTTGATTTTCGCTTTTAAAGCAGAAAAATAAAAATTTTGGACAAATTTTTACTAAAATCAAATTTCTAACCTCACAACATCTTCATTTCCATAAGATGCTGCCCAATGCAGTGCTGTATTACCAGTATCCACAGCATCAATCGAATCCACGTTAAGTCCAGCTGATATCATTTGACACACTCGGCCCAAACTACAACAAACGACGCTTAAACACATATGAAAAAACGATTCCTTATTTTAATCAGCATCTAATTAAGAAAAAAGCAAACTTTGACTGAGCAACGGCTTGCAATAATTCTTGAACAAATGCATTTTTAACTTCTTCAGAAAAAGCCACGCGATACGCTGTGTTATTATTGTCATTCTGGATACATGGGTTTACACCTGCTGATAGCAATGTTCGCACACTATCCACCGAATCTGCGAACTTGTTATTAACAATCATGTGTCGGTATTTTTTATTATTATAATGCAGAAAATAACTACTTGAAATAAACTAAAATAAACACGACGTTAAAAAACTGGATAAAGTTAATAAGTGATTCTCTCAGAAGTATTTTGCTGTATTTGAAAACATAACTATTAAAACTTGATATCATGTCACTATATAACTATGAAGAGCAAAATATCTGCGTTTAAAGTCCGAAATAATAAGCTAAAAATGATTGAAAAAAAAACAGTTACTTCGAGCTACTGCATGATGCAGTACCGTCCCCCCATTGTAACATATCTGATCTACTTGCTCGTGAAAATCTGATTTTGAGGCTGAAATTATTGAAATTTCTTAACACCATATAAAACTTTTCACTATTCAGATTCTTAAATAATAACCGTAATTTTAATAATAAGGCAGTACCTCTTCAAATAACGTAATTCACTTATTCGCATCTTACAAATCTGCGAAATCGATTCTTAAATTTTAGGAGATTAAGCACAACTAACCAATCTGTGTAAGAATAGACCGTAAGATATCGATCCGTTCATCATCTATACTTTTTAACAATAATGAACAAATATTCCCCTCATTATTAGAGATAATTTTATGGTTCGGTGTGTTGTTCGGTGTGCCATTTGGAAAGAGCATTACCTATTGATCAGTTCGCCAAATATTCTAAAAAACTAAAACTAGGCGTAATATATAAAATGTATAATGATTACATTTGCTATCACGTAAATTTGAATATGAAGAAATATATAAAAAAAACGTAACTTGTTCATAAGCCACATTAAGGCGACGTCAGCTATTTATCTCTTTTAAGTCGTCAATTACCCAAATTAATGTTAATCAATTAAAATGTTACATTCCGAGGACAAATAAAACAGGCTTAACTCACTCCGTACGCCGATGAGCAATGTGATCGTTTTCTGCTGAATAATTTAGAAAAGAAAAGTATTTATACTAAAAACACTTACAGAGGCCGCAACTTACAAACCAACGAAATCAAAACCATGTGGAAAACCCAGCCTCAAGAAACTTAGAAGAGCTTCATCATACCAATCTTGACATAGCGTTTCCAAAAATCTTTAATGCGTCCCTCATGTGCAATTCCGTTAAAATCATTATTTTTTGCTTTTTGTGCAAATTATTGCTATGAACAGGAGAGGCAATTATTCTGATGAGTAATGCTGTCTCATCTTGCAGCGCCTGATTTCTTCTCTTTTATCCTATACTTTCGTTACTATTCAATTATATTCCATCCTATCCCATTGTCCTATTTTCTGATTAATTATAGATTTTACACCATTTTTATTTATGTATATTTTTTCTATCTTTCCTGTATGATCGAAGTATTCTGAAAGAATAAATCTAAATATTTTCTTCTTTTATTTCATTTTTATAGCAACACTATAGGGTTAATAAAGGGATCAATTTCATTCAAATTTAACGCTAAGTGATCTATTAATTAATAATCTTTGGATTTGTAAGTTGCACGATTTCCAACATATATTCTTTAGTTCCAATAATTTGTAGCTTTCTTCAAAGATCGAAACTGCAACTCTAAATTAAAGGTCTAAAAATTAATACTATCTGTTTTCTCTTCGGTGATAAGATGACGGAAAATTGATATGGCAGCCAATAAAACTAACTTCGATTATCGTACTGCTCATTTTACACAAAGTCTCCGTTATTTTTTCAGTCTTCATTCTGCAGATTTCCTTTTCATGTCTATTATTGCTTTCGCCAGCAGGAAGTCAAATTGTCAGCAAGTTGAATGAATGACTGATCTCTTTAAAAACATTTTAAAATGGCAAAAAATAACCAAAAGACCGGAAAGGATCGATTTAAGTTTATTGAGCAAAACAGTGGAAAGGAGTATTACTTACGCAGGCTTAAAAATTACCACTCATGCCGGATGGGAAGGAATGTTATTTTCGTAGCCATGAAAAATTACCATTCACGCCGGAATGTTGCAAACAAGAGAGTTTGAAACTGTAGTTGTTATGTTCTCCATTATTACAAAATTGCTTGCAGATCCGCGATTAAGCGGAGTGCTTGCTTAAGGTTCCGTCTGTTCCACTTATAACGCTTGATTGGTGAACCTCGTCATGTACATTACAGTCTCCTCTTCCAACATGACATAGTCTAAGGTATTCTAAGATACAAGAATATATTTAAAATAAAAGTAGCTTCAGCAACCAATTAGACCCTTATTTTTTTAATTCAAAAGAAGAATCAATTCAATTTTCATTGTATGATATTGTCAGCGTGACATAAAATAGGTAATTGATTTTTAGTCTAAGTTTATCGTTTATATTATTTTTTTTTCTGTGTGTTGCTATGGGAACGGTGTGTTAAGAGGATAACAGATTTTAGGAGTAGTGAAGATGTCGGTTGATGAGAAAGACAAAGCTGATATTGCGGTGATTGGACTCGCCGTGATGGGACAAAATTTAATTCTTAACATGCTTGATAAAGGCTTTGTGGTTAGTTATAATTGCATGTCCATGCGTAATTTTCGAAGTATATATTATAGTACGCGTTAAATGCATAACATTTTTTTGATGTTGCATTCATAAATTTCGAATGACACAGAACTAGATAATCATGATTAAATCGAAAACCTGGATAATTATTATTATTGACTGGAAATGTGATTGATCCACATTTTCAAATTCAGTTGAATACAAGAATAAACCATTAAGATAAAAGTAACTGGGAAAAGAAATTGGATTGGTTTTACTAGTTCCTGTAGACATAATTAAGGGTAACAATGGAATTGCTTTAGTTTTTTGATTCGCATCATGTTAAAGGTCTGCGTGTACAATCGAACTATATCAAAAGTGGATGATTTCATGGCGAATGAAGGAAAAGGTTTACGGGTTATTGGAGCGCACAGTTTAGCAGAATTAGCAGAGTAAGTATGTAGCCTTCAAAGGAATAATTTCGATACAGTTTTGATAATTTAAGAACTATAGATTAAAAAATAGAAGTTATTTCATGTTATGCTCTAATTTTGAGATGTATTTCAAAGCTGTTCATATCAGAATTCTAAAGAAACCGCGACGTATAATGTTAATGGTAAAGGCGGGGGAACCGGTGGATGCAATGATTTCCAGCATTTTGCCCTTTCTGGATAAAGATGATATAATTATTGACGGTGGGAATAGTGAGTATACGGATACATTTGTAAGTTTTCTTCGCATTTTACCTGTTTATAATATGTTTTTTATTGATAACTGATGCACTTCATGCAACAGATTGAATGAGTAAACTACATGGAATTAAGATGTTATTGGACTCGATATATTCATTTAAATGATTTGCATATTATTATGTGAAGGTTGAAAATAAGGATTGAAGTTTTCCAAATATTGTTTTTTTTTTTGCAGCGACGTTGCACTGAACTTAAAGAGAAAGGTATTCGTTTCGTGGGTTGCGGTGTAAGTGGTGGTGAGGAAGGTATTGTTTTGAGATTTATAATTTTATGTAAAGTTAAGCTTGTTGAGATTGCATGCAGTCATGGCTGAACTGGCTGAATAAGGCATGAAAAGAAGGATTGATTCATTTCTCTCTTAGTTTCTTGTATGTCTTTAATTTGTTTCTTGTATCTCTTGTAAGATTTTCATTCTGCTCTGGACTAAGTGAATGAAAGCAGGCTGTACTAGTTGCTATTTGAATGCTGAAAGTATAGTTGCTTTTAGGAGCGCGTTATGGTCCATCATTGATGCCAGGTGGTTCACCCGAAGCTTGGCCATATATAAAAGATATATTCCAAGCAATATCAGCCAAAGTTGACAAGGAACCTTGTTGTGACTGGGTAAAATCATTTTACTTGCCCTTTTATGCAAGCCGAGCTGAAATTGTACATGAACATGTTTGCGATTCGCAGTCCAACATTAGATGTTTTCAGGTCGGTGAAAATGGTGCTGGGCATTTCGTGAAAATGGTTCATAATGGAATTGAATATGGTGACATGCAGTTGATTGCGGAAGCCTATAGTATACTGAAAGACGGAGCTGATTTGACACACGATCAAATGGCAGAGGTTAGTCGAAATTTTTGCCTTATAGCTTTATGCAAATATATTGTGATTTTTATAGCATCCATTATTACTGACTGATTTAATAAACGTTTTTCTCGACTTATTTACACTTAACGCTTTATCGATATTGCCTTATATTACTATCACTTGAATAAGGACTTCAATTGTTTCTTGTATCATTGCTTTTTTATCATTCTTGAATTTATCAGCTACGGATCATCCATCAGATCTTGACCAATACTTCACGGTATATCTATGCTTGGTTTTTTTCGTTGCATATTTTCTTTTGAGAGGTTTTTACAATAATCATAGTTAAGCATAGTATTCTTTGTTTTTTTTGCTATGAAAGGAGCAACTCAAATGATCAGAAATATATTATGGGACAACAGTACTTCGAACTGCGGTTTTTTAATATGGTGAGTTCAGTAATGAAGAAGTAATTTACATTGGAGGCTCGAATAACGTTTTCATACTTTTGCTGTTTCAAGAATTCATTCGAATTATTGCAATCAAGTCAACTGTATAGAATAAAATTCAGGATCTTCTGAAACTGTGTGAACTTTCTGAGCTTTAGTTTAAGGTGGTGTTAAGACTTCCATTTTGGTAATGACATGAATAAAAATCAAATGTGGGAACCATATGTTTGCCGTCATCATTCTTATAAATTTCACTGAATATTCTGTACGTATTACACAGTTCTCGTTCAACTCTTCGGAAGAATTTGCAATAGTATTATTGTTTGCTGTAAGATGGCATGACGAAAGTGCAGTTATTAAATTCCTGTTCAGAGGTACTGTTGATGCGAAAATGGAATTTCGCAAGTCTGAAATTCAAGCTTTTAATAAGAGTTTAGTTTTGATAACTGAACGGAATTTTCATCGCTGATCTATTAGAGAAAGAGACATCAAGATCTCCAGTCATATTTTCAAATTTATGATAAGGTCGCTGCAAAAGTTCTGTACTGTGGAAATTTTCTTTTCAGAGCTGATAGGACAAGCATTTCAGAGAAAAGGAGGAAACTCATTACTCGCGCTACAATCCTTTCTTGAAAAAGGAAGCAATTGTCAGCAGCGACTTAAAGTTTTTTCTATGTTGTTGGGTGCAATTTTGAATCACTGATCAGTTCTCACCTTTTGATTTATGTTGCAATTTATCGAAACCTGTACTGATATTTCTGCGAATCAATTCCAATTTGATACGGAATCAACTAGTAAAACTGCAGATGGCATCTTGATCCTATCTATGGATAATTCAACTTAAATCATTTGTTTGAAGACTCAGAATCACTTCGAAATGCTGAAGTGAAAAAAGCGTTAATGAAATGGAACGAATTATAAGATATAAGGAAGTATGTCTCAACTTTACGACTAAGTCATCAACTCAGGAAAGCGAGGATATTCGCAATGTCAAAAACAACTGTCAGTTGAGGACAACTTACAAGTAAACGATGTCCAGGTTGAATTGTTTGTGAAAAGGTTTCATCTACTTGCATGATTATAATGAAATGGAAGAGACTAGAAAGTATTTCTAGCAACCGATATAAACGAAGATATCGGGGCGATGCAGGACTGAAGCACATTATTGTCTCGTTATTTATTTC